ATGGTGTGTATGTATGGTGTGTGGTGTGTGTGAGTGTGTGTATGAGTGTCTATGATGTGTGTGGAGTATGTGTGTGTATCGTGTGTGTGTACGGTTTGTGTGTGAGTGTATATGGTGTGAGTGTGTGACTCTGTTCTGTATGTATGGTGTATGTGAGTGCGTATGAGTGTGTATTGTGTGTGAGTGTGTGTATGGTGTGGGTGACATGTATGTATGGTGTGTGCATGGTTTGAGTGTGAGTGTGTGAGTGTATATGGTGTGTGGTGTGTGTATGGTGTGCGGGAATGTGTATGATGTATGTATGGTGTGTGGTGTATGTGGTGTGAGTATGTATATGGTGTGTGTATGGTGTGTGTTTGGGGGTGTATGTGTGAGTGTGTATGGTGTGTGTGAATGTGTGAGTGTGCGTGGTGTGAGTCTGTGATGTGTATGGTGTGTGTATATGTGGTGTGTGTCTGTGGTGTATGTATGGTATGTGTGTGTGTGTGGTATGTGGGTCAGTGTATGTGATGTGTATTGTGTGTGTGTATGATGTATGTGTGGTGTGCATATGGTGTGTGTGTATCTGTGTTGTGTGTGAGTGTGTGGGTGTGTAACTGTGCATGGTGAGTGGGTCAGTGTGTGTGGTGTGGTATAGTATGTGTGTCAGTGTGTATGGTATAATGGTGTGTGTGGGGTGTGTGGGTCAGTGCGTGTGGTGTGTGTGTGGTATGTGCGTAGTGTGTGTGTGTGTGTGGTGTGTCCCCTTGCCCCCCATCCCCTCCTGGGCTCCCCCTCCCACAGAGTGTCTTGGGCTCCGCTTTTCACCCCAGCAAGTTTTCTGAGCCCTGCAGCAATCTGCGTGCCCACCTCTGGCAGAATCAATCTTTTTTTTTTTTCTTTTTGGGTCACACCTGGCGTTGCACAGGGGTTATTCCTGGCTCTGCACTCAAGAATTACTCCTGGCAGCGCTCAGGGGACATATGGGATGCTGGGAATCAAACTCAGGTCGGCCGCGTGCAAGGCAAACGCCCTACCCGCTGTGCTATTGCTCCAGCCCCTGGCAGAATCAATCTTAAATAAATAAAAGAATGTTTTTGTCTAACTATGAAAGTGAAACGAGATCCTTGGAAAAGTTCTGGGAAATTGAAGAATGAAATGAAGTGGCCTAGAGCCCTTCCGTGTACCCCCAGGGATTTCCTGCCGTAGGGCGAGATGGGGGCCATGAGGTCTGGGGGGCACTGGGCAGGGCAGGGTGTCCAGGGCCCTTTCTCAGTCCCCTCACTGTCCCCGGCGGAGATCTGGGGCGTGGAGCTGTGCACGTGCCTGCCATCCATGAGAGTTCTGGCCGCAGTCAGCCATTTTACCCGTAAGCCTGCCGGTCTCCCCTGCCGGCCTGTGCGGGCCCCTCAGGCAGGCCCTGTCATCTTAGGGCAGTGGGGATCACTGGGGGAGCCCCAGAGTTTGGACAGGACCTGGCATGGGCCCAGCCTCTGTGTCCAGTTCACTGTGTGGCCTGGGCTTGTGTGAGCCTAGGTCCTTGTTCTGCAAGCTAGGGTTTTCGCCTGGCAGCTGGGCACAAGGGACACTTGAGGCTTCGGAGAAAGGCTGTGTAGACGGACGGTGCAGGAGGATCTGTGAGTGCCTGCAGCTTCTCTCCAGCTTGAAAACGTTCCGAACACCAAGCGGATACTCTGAGGGCCCGAGAGTGCATAGTGGGGCGGCACTTGCCTGGCATGGGCTGACCCGCCACCCAATATGTCCCCCAAGCCTGCCAGGAGTAATTCCTGAGTGCAGAGCCAGGGGGAAGCCCTGAATACTGGCAGGTGTGGCCCAAAACAAAACAATAAATAGCATACAAGAAAATACTCGGGGTGCTGGAGAGATAGCACAGCGGGTAGGGCGTTTGGCTGGCACCCGGCTGACCCAGATTTGATCCCCGGCACTCAGTATGGTCCCCCAAGCCCTGCCGGAAGTGAGCCCTGAGTGCAGAACCAGGAGAAACCCCTGAGATTCGTTGGGTGTGGCACAAAAAAAAGAGAAAGAAAAGAACACCCGATGAGAGGAGGAAACCAGTGGGCAGATGGGAACCCCCCACCTTCTGCTAGAGTCAGGCCTGTCAGATCAGCGGCACCAGTGGCTAGTGTGTTTTTCTTTTCTTTTCTTTCTTTCTTTTTTTTTTCTTTTTGGGTCACACCCGGCAATGCACAGGGGTTACTCCTGGCTCATGCACTCAGGAATTACTCCTGGCAGTGCTCAGGGGACCATATGGGATGCTGGGAATCGAACCCGCGTCGGCCGCGAGTAAGGCAAACGCCCTACCCACTGTGCTATCACTCCAGCCCCAACCAGCCAGTGTGTTTTTGACTTTGGCTGAGGCAGGCAGTAGTGGAAGCCGTGCTGGGACCCCCTTCTGCCCGGCAGCTGAGGCTGGCTGTGGGCAATACCCCCCTCATGGGCACACAGCATCCTCGGCACTGCCGGGCTCGGTGCTGGGCAGGGGCAGGAGGCTCTGTCCACACGGCCCCCTCCGGGGTGCTCCTGGCCTGTGCCTGGGCCTGGGGTACCTGATGGGACCAGGCAGGGAAGGAGTTGTGCGCATGGTGCAGCTTAGCCCTGGGTGCCCGGGTGGCCCCCGAGGCTCCTGTCTGCAGGCCGACCCCAGTTCCAGCTGTGCTGACCCCGCAGCAGAGGGAGCACAGCTGAGCTGGTCCCCTTTCTGCTGCCACTCCTGGGGCTCCCGGGGAGTCAGGGACCTGTGTGAGGCCGTGAGAGTGTTTCCGGGGCCCCAAGCTGCTCCAGCTGCAGGTGTTGGTGCTGGGACCAGCATCCTCCGCCCCCTGGCATCCAAGCGTGTGGCCCCAGGTGCTGTTCCAGGGTGGGCTTCCTGTGTCCAAGGCTTCCTTTTGGCCTTTGTGGGTGCTGGGGGGCATGTCAGGGGCTGTATTCTGCGCTACACATTGAGCCACATTCTGCTCTCTCTGGCTGTTCTATCCTAAAGGTTGCCAAGGTTTTTTGGTTTTTTTTTTTTTTTGCTTTTTGGGTCACACCTGGCGATGCTCAGGGGTTACTCCTGACTCTGCACTCAGGAATCATTCCTGGAGGTGCTCGGGGGACCATATGGGATGCTGGGAATCGAACCTGGATCGGTCGTGTGCAAGGCAAACGCCTTACCCGCTGTGCTATCTCTCCAGCCCCTTGTTTTTATTTTGTTGTTGTTGTTTATTTTTTTAAAAATTTGTTGTTTTAGGGGCTGGAGTGATAGCACAGCGTGTAGGGCGTTTGCCTTGCACACAGCCAACATGGCCAACCCAGGTTCGATTCCCAGCATCCCATATGGTCCCCCGAGCACCACCAGGAGTAATTCCTGAGTGCATGAGCCAGGAATAACCCCTGAGCATCGCCGGGAGTGACCCAAAACGCAAAAAAAAAAATTGTTGTTTTAGTCACCATAAAATTACGAAGTTATTTATGATGGGCTTAAGACACACATTGTTTCAGCCTGTCCTTCACCGGTGCCCACTGCCCTCCACCAATTTCCCCTCCTCTGTCCCCTTGTCTCCCGCTTACCAGTCTGCCTTAGGGGGACACCCCCCCCCCCCCCACACACACACACAAAACCCGGGATCCAGAGATAGCTCTCGGAACAGGAGAAACTAGCCAAAACTCATCCAACAGGGGGTTGACACCCAAGGCGCATAAGGCACTAGCTTACAAGTGAAAAACATTCAACCCCATCAAAAAATGGGGAGAACAGAAACTCCCTCAGAGAGAAATACAAGGCCACAAGTCCCCGGAGAGACACTCTGGCCCTCATGTTGCCAGGTGTGGATTGTCACTCTCTCCACCAGCTTTTAACGTCTTCCGGCACCTTCGTTGGTTGGCCGGCTGCTCAGGGTGGGAGGAGGGTGTGTGGGTGTTTGATCCTGTGTCTCTGCACTGTGCCTTAGACAGCGTGATGGGACCCAGCTGTTGGCAGATGTGTGAGTGGGTGTGGGGGCCCAGTTGTGCCCTCTCTCCTTACCCCTTGCTGGGGCCCATGCTCCCCGGAGCGCTGGCTGTGAGCAGCACCTGCGGTCTCCCTGCAGCCGTCTCCAGCCACGGAGGCAGCGTCAGCGGGAAGCTGCAGACTAAGGGATGGGCAGAGGCAAGTCTGAAGCACTGGCCCTGCCGCCTGCCGCCTTTTCTCTTGTTGGTCACTTGGGCTTTGAGTCACAGGAACCCTCTGCCTGCCCTCACCTCCCGGTGTACACGGCAACTCCTACAGTGTCCTCGTGTTTCTGCTGCCGGGAACGGCACTGGGAGGGCCAGGCAGCACCCCGGAGGGGGCCATGTGGACAGAGCCTCCAGCCCCTTCCCAGCACTGAGCCCAGGAGGATGCTGTGTGCCCGTGAGGGGGGCATTGGCCACAGCCAGCCGCAGCTGCCCGGCAGAAGGGGGTCCCAGCACGGCTTCCACTACCGCCCGCCTCAGCCAAAGTCGAAAACACACTGGCCACTGGTGCCGCTGGGGGTTGATCTGACAGGCCTGACTCTAGCAGAAGGCGGGGTGCGCCCCTCTGCCCACTGGCTTCCTCCTCTCATTGGGTGTTCTTTTTATTCTCTTGGTTTTTTGTGCCACACCCAACTATATTCAGTAATACTCCTGGCTCTGTGCTAGGGGCTCACTCCTGGCAGTGCTCAGGGCTCCCTCCTGGCTCTGGGTTCAGGGCGCACTCCTGACTCTGTGCTCAGGGCTCACTCCTGGGTCTGGGCTCAGGTTCACTCCTGGGTCTGGGCTCAGGGCTCACTCCTGGCTCTGTGCTCAGGGCTCACTCCCAGTAGGGCGCGGGAGATCATCTGGAGGGCTTGGGAGGCCCTTGGAGTGTGTGTCCTCGTGTCTGCAGGCATTGTGCCAAGTGTGGCCTCCCCCATCCCAGCCTGAAGTCTCGTGGCCTCTCCCACATGGAGTCTGGGCAGTGCCAGACACAACCAGGGAAGATGCTGGGCCCAAGGTAATGGCGTGTCCCTCTCTGCCCCCAGACCACCAGAAGCTGGAAAGAGAAGCCCGGATCTGCCGCCTCCTGAAGCATTCCAATATCGGTGAGTGGCACTGGGGCATGCGGGCACAGGGGTGGGGGGCCCGTCTCTCTCCTCAGCAAGCACCTGCCTTCTTTCGGGTTCCCCCCGAGACACGGGGAGCTCCTCTTCCAGAATGAATGGCCCCTAGGCCCTCCCTGGGCCTTGCTGAAGTGTCCACACTGCTGGGCCTAAGTGTTTGGTGGCTTCAGCAAGGCCACAGGAAAGCAAGAGAGAGAGAGAGAGAGAGAGAGAGAGAGAGAGAGAGAGAGAGAGAGCGCTCTGGAGATTGAGGCCCAGAGATGAGTCCCAGAGGCCTTTCCTGACCCTCCCGGCCCAGCAGCACCCTCGGTGTGGGGGTGCTCCCTGCCCTGTTGGAAGTTGGGCCCCCAGACTATATTCAGTCCCCACATTAGTGCAGCAATCTGGGCCCACCCCACATCAACATGGCACCAGCAATGTCCCTGCTGGCCGGTGGAGTGTGTGTGTGTGGGGTGGTCCTAGGCCCTATCAGGACCCTGAGGCTTCAGCTGGTCCTCAGGGTACCTGGGCCTGCCTGCGCTGAGACCCCCAGAATGCCGGTTCCTCCCAGCTGTCCGCCCGCTGGCGAGCACTGGCAAGGCAGCTCTTTTGGGTCCTGGCTGTGCTCTGGGGTTGGCATAGACTGAGGGCGGCATGCTAGCATGAGTGACTCACACGTCCTGGGGCGTGGCCCACAGCACCCCTGGGGTGGGCCAGACTGAGTCTGCGGCCAGCCACGTGTCCTGGCTGGCGCTGTCCCTAGGGCCCTTGGTCCCTGGCCAGTGACTGTGGGAGCCACTGGCAAATGGGAGGGCCCATGGGGCTGCGATCACGGCGGGTCCAGGCTGGCGGCCATGTGCTCACAAACCTTGACCGTGGGCCAGAATCACTGTCCACAGCCCCAGCACCCCTTTCTTCCCCCGCCCCCTCTGCCCCTGCAGAGCCGCCCCGCTGAGCAGCGCAGGAGCTCCCGGCTTCGGGGGAGACCCACGAAGAAGTCTCGGCTGGGTTATCTGAGCAGGCTTTTCAGCCTGGCGCTCGGACCCACCTGCCCAGCTCTGGGTTGGCTCTGAGTAATCCCTGATGGTCAGTGCCTTCGTTTCCAGAACTCAGGGAAGGGGCTCTGAGACGGCGGAGTTCAGGAGGAATATTCTGGAATGTAGAGAAGGTGGTTCAGACTGGGGTGTAGTGGAACATTCCAGAATGTAGAGCAGGTGCCTCTGAAGCTGTGGGTTTGGGAGGCTCAGTGAAATGGGTTCAGGTGGAATATGCTGGAACAAAGGAAGGAACATCCAAGAGGGCTCCAGGCGGGACATTTGGGGAGTGACCTCCGAGAGCTGCAGGGGTGAGGAGCACTGTTCTGGGAGCCAGAACCCTCCCTGTCTCCCCATGCTTCTGGGGTCAGAAGCCACCAGAGGAAGCAGGCCTGCGTGTAGCAGAGGAGACCCTACTCCTGCCCTAGTCGCTCAGGGAGTCCTTGTGCCCAGCATGGGGTCAGGAGACCTTGGCCAGGAAAGGTCACTGCATCCCTCGCAGGTCTTGTGAGTGGGGTGTTCATCAGGGAGCTGATGGCCAGCGAGTTTCTCAGTCTCTGAGGATCAGTACAATTGAACAGGAAGGCCTGGGCCAGCAGAACTGCTAGACCAGAACAGAGGGAAAATGTAAGACTTTGTCCAGAAACGACCAGTCTCCAGCGAGCCCAGCCCCAGCCTCCTGGAACTAGTGCCCACAGCCGCATGCTGATACCTGCCTGCTGGCCACACTCAGGCAGGGGCCTGGCCATGCTGCTCTGGGAGGAATCACTTCCAGCCAGGGTATCACGTGGCGCAGGCCTCTGAAAGGTCTCAGTTCCACAGAAGACATCTCAAAGTCATGCAAACATCTTTAGGACATGGCTTTTAAGAGATTGTCAGACAGAGGGAATCTGAGGAATGGACAGTGAGAGAGACAGGGAGAGGTCTGAGGGACAGACTGTGAGAGAGAAGGGGGTGTCTGAGGGATGGACTCTGAGAGAGACGGGGAGTCTGAGGGAAAGACTGAGAGAGACAGGAGGATCTGATGGACGGACTCTGAGAGAGACGGTGGGGGGTGGTGTCTGAGAGATGGATGGTGAGAGAAACAGGGGGTCTGAGGGATGGACTGTGAGAGAGATGGAGGGTCTGAGGGACAGACAGTGAGAGAGACGGGGGTGGGCTGAGGGTCAGACTGTGAGAGAGACGGGGTCTGAAGGACAGACTGTGAGAGAGACAAGGGGGGGGTCTAAGGGACAGACTCTGAGAGAGATGGCGGGGGGGGGTCTGAGGGATGGACTGTGAGAGACAGGGGGTCTGAGGGACGAACTGTGAGAGAGACAGGGGGTCTGAGGGACAGACGGTGAGAGAGATGGGGGGGAGGTCTGAAGAACAGACTGAGAGACAAGGGGGGTCTGAGGGATGGACTCTGAGAGAGATGGAGGGTCTGAGGGATGGACTGTGAGAGGCAGGGGGGTCTGAGGGACAAAGTTCGCCCCTCGGACTCCCCCATCTCTCTCAGTTTGTCTCTCAGACCCCCTTGTCTCTCTCACAGTCCATCCCTCAGACCCCCCCACCCCCGTCTCTCTCACTGTCTCTCAACCTCCCAGGCTCTCTCACAGTTTGTCCCTCAGACCTCCTGTCTCTCTCACATTCTGTTGCTCAGAGCCCCAGCTCTCTCATAGTGAGTCCCTCAGATCTCCCGTCTCTCTCACAGTCCATCTCTCACCGTTTCTCTCACCATCCGTCCCTCAGACCCTCCGTCTCTCTGACAGTCCGTCCCAGAAATCCTGCCATGTCTCTCTCACAGTCCGTCCCTCAGAACCCCCCACCCCGTGTCTCAGTCCGTTCCTCAGACCCCTGTCTCTCACAGTTCGTCCATCAGACACCCCCCCGGCTCCCTCACAGTCGATCCCTCGGACCCCCCATCTCTCTCATCAGTCCATCTCTCAGACCCCCGTCAAGCTCACAGTTCGTCCCTTGGACTCCCTGTCTCTCTCAAAGTTCATCTATCAGACCCCCCTGTCTCTCTCACAGTCCATTCCTCAGACACCTCATCTCTCACCTCTCACAGTCCATCCCTCAGATCCCCCATCTCTCTCACAGTCTGTCTCTCAGACCCCCTGTCTCTCACAGTCTGTCCCTCAGACTGTGAGAGAGATGGAGTGTCTGAGGGACGAACTGTGAGAGATGGGGTGTCTGAGGGACGGACTGTAAGAGAGACGGGGGGTCTGAGAGACGAACTTTGAGATAGATGGGGAGTCTGAGGGACGAACTGTGAGCTGGATGGGCATCTGAGAGACGGACTGATGAGAGAGACAGGGGGTTCCGAGAGACAGGGGGTTCCGAGGGATTGAATGTGAGAGAGCGGGCGGGGAGAGTTCTGATGGACGGACTGTGAGAGACAGGGGTCTGAGGGACGGACTGTGAGAGACATGGGGTGGGGGATTCTGAGGGACAGACTGTGAGAGAGACATGGTGGGATCTGAGGGATGGACTATCAGAGAGACAGGGAGTCTGAGGGACGAATGGTGAGAGAAACGGGGGGGGGGTCTGAGAGACGGACTGTGAGAGAGACGGGAGGTCTGAGGGACGAGCTGTGAGAGAGACTGGGGGGTTGAGGGTCAGCGGTGAGAGAGACGGGGGGGTATGAGGGATGGACTGTGAGAGACAGGGGGCCTGAGAGACGAACTGTGAGAGAGATGGGGGGTCTGACGGATGGACTGTGAGAGATGGGGTGTCTGAGGGATGGACTGTGAAAGGGACGGGGTTTCTGAGCAACGGTGATGGAGGTAGAGCAAGGAATGAGATGTGAATTAGAGAAACAGTGAGCTTGAGGGAGGAGGGGAGCAGGGATTCATGCCTCAAACCCTAGATTGTCACGAGATGCTCACAGCACCCCCTGTTGTACCCACAACTTTTTGTTTTTATTTTAGGGGCACACCCAGGGGTTACTCCTGGCTGCGCACTCATGGATAACTCCTTAGGGTTTATATGAAGTACTCAGGCTTAACTCTGGTTGGTCATGTGCAAGGCACTGACTTGTGCACTCTCTGCAGCCAAACCTAAAACTTCTTCACCATCCCCAGCAGAAACTCTGCACCCATTGAAGTCTGCCTCACGGTGGCTGTGCCCTCACTTCTGAAGCCCGGTGCTCAGTCCTGGTGTTCTCGCTGCTGGGGTGGTTCTGAGGACCCAGGACCCTGGGGCCATGGGGGACAGAGATTTGGGAGATCCTGAGGCAGGGTGGGAGCTTCCTTAGCTTCGACTAAAGTGATTCCAGAGCGGGAAGCCCTCCTCAGTCTCCTCAGGTTTCTGCAGCCCCCAGCAGCCCACTACTCCCCTTTGCACCCCAGCACCTCTCTCAGGGGTCAGGGTGGGAGACCCCCCACCCCCACCGTGGCCACCCCTGGCCTGGGCAGCTGGCAGTGCGCTGGAGAGGTTTTTGCAGATTAGGGCCCACCTGGACCAGGCAGCGCAGGATGGGGCAGTCTGAGGCAGCACAGGCCAGGCCTGCTGGGCTGTCTTGTCTCCTCCGCTGCTCCCTCTGTCTCCCACTGCCATTCACTTGCTTCTTGACGGAAATAGACCGACGGTGTCCTGTTCCCTCGCCTCTCTGAGATCACGGGTCTGTGCGCTAGGTGGTAATTTAGCTTTGGAACCATTCAAGTAAGCCCCAGCCCTTCTCTGATGTTAAAAGTAGCTTTGGGCCCAGGAGGTGACCCCAAGGGCTGGGGCAGACCTCAGCTTGATTCCTGCTCTGGTGGCTTCTGGACCCCCAGTCCCACGGGGGAACCTCGAATGACGGCCAGACAGTCTGTGTTAGCACCTCAGCCTCCAGCCCCACAGTCGGGGCGGCCAGCCTGTGTGCAGGAGGTGACCCCTAGCTGACGCCCACTTCACTGCCCGGCAGCCCTTCGTCTGCATGACCTTCAGCCTCCCATGGGGGCAGTGCCCTGCACTGGAGGGGCCCCATGGGGTGGTTCTGCATGTGGACGCTCGGGGGGTTCCGGGCACTGTGCTCAGGCCTCCACTCAGAGCACATGGGAGGTGTCCCAGGCTGTCTGAGGGTGCACCTGTCCAGCACCCCCAAAACAGGGTGAGCATGGATGACCCCTGGGCTTCTGTTCCAGGGGCACAGGCCAGCCTTCGTGGTCACTTGCATGGCCCTCAGTTTGTAGCTGCTGGAGGCATGGGGGGGACAGGGCTCAGAGAAGCCTGTCAGCACTGGTGTCTGCCCCACCCCCACCGGAAGTCCCTGAGAGGGACTGGGGTGGGCGGGACCCTGTGTCTGGCCCCGGGGCTCCTGGCTCCCACAGTGGCAAAGCTGGGGGTCACTCGTGCCTCTGCCACAGTCCAGGCCTGCAGAGACAAGGAACAGGGGGCAGCTGCTGGCATGGGCACAGCGACCCAGGGCGTGGCCTGTGGTGAGACCTGGGCCCCGGGTGGTCCTAGTAGGAGGACCCAGATCTGGAGAGGGAGGGCACGGCCCCCGGGGACAGCGGGCAGGGCAGGAGGGTGAAGGTGCCCGCTGCAGAGCTGGATCCCGACACCTCCACACAGCCTCTCCACCGGAGGTCCCTGAGCACTGGTGTCAGAGTCTGTGCCCTGCGTCCAGCCCCAGTGCAGACCAAGGGTAGCTCCAGCAAAGGGGTGGGCAACAGTGTCCAAGAGCTTCTTTCCTGGCTGTCGCTGCGGGCGCCCTTTGGGTCACTCACGCACGCACCCCCGCCCCCCGCCGGGTGGAGGTGGGCAGGGAGAAGGCCGGCTGGGCGGTGGGGGCTCCTGCTCACGGCCTGTCTGCCCCCACAGTCCGCCTCCATGACAGCATCTCTGAGGAAGGCTTCCACTACCTGGTCTTCGATCTGTAAGTGTTGGAACTGGCGAGCACCCTGTCTGTGCCCCGGGGCGGGGTTGGGGGAGCTGTGGACCAGCCCTGGAGACTGCGCCGAATGGTGGGGAGAAGGGAGGGGCTCTGGTGTCCCCCGCTGGCGTGGAAACGTGTACACGGACCTGTCCCATCTGTGTGTGCACGAGTGCCTGCGTGTGAGCATGTGCGTGTGCATGTGTGATATACAGGGGCACACACGATTCGTGGTGCTTGTCCGTGTGTGCCGTGTATGTGCCGTACGTGTGCTGCCTGTGTCTCATGTGTTCCACCTGCGTATCGTGCATGTCACCTGTGTATCGTGTATTCTCCCTGTGGACCGCGTGTGCCAGGCAGGTACCGTGTGGGGCATGTTTGCAGCCGGGCGAGGGGAATCTCGAGCCATCCCTCCCTTCCTGTGGATTTGGAGGTCACATGCTCACCTTGCCCCCAACCTCCTTCGGCAGGGCTGTACATTTAGCTGCCCATGTCACTGCTGCTGGGGACCCCGGGCTGGGCAGGGACAGGGGCTCTGGGCCGCCAACCATGTGCCGTAACCAGTGGGCACCTCCCATGACCAGCACGGGACTGGGGCCAGCAGCTGAGGCCAGTCTGGGGTTGTCCTTGCAGGTGCTGGGCTTCGTGTCTCGGCCATCACCATACTGGGTCACCACCTGGCTGGCCAGCGCTGGCTAGGACACGGAAGTGGTGGCACGGCCTCCAGTTCTGCTCCTGTGACCTACCTGCACCCAGGCTGGGGGATGTGTGGGGGGCCGTGGAGGCGCTCACGTGTGCTAGTGTGTAAGGCTGGGGCGTGGGGGGCAGCTTCGTGGCCTGCCCTGAGGGTCAGAGCCCCCTGAGCTCCCCCTCCTCCCCGCCTCAGGCATGGCACCGCGGAGCCCTAAGAGCTGGGGAGGTCTTAGCTGACATTGCCGTGCAGAGGTGAAGGGGTGAGAGGGACCGGGGTCCCCAGAAGCCGTGGCATCTGTGTGCTTCTCCTGCAGGGTGACCGGAGGGGAGCTCTTTGAGGACATTGTGGCCAGAGAGTACTACAGCGAGGCTGATGCCAGGTGTGTGGACCCCTTGCCCTGTGCCCCTCACCCCTTCCTCCCTCGGCCCCTCCACTGCCCTGGGGCCTTCTTCCTCCCAGGCTGGACACAGTCCATCGCAGGACCGGTGTCCGTTCCCGATTGGAGCACTCTGGGGAGTGGCCTGGCCACTGGGACACCCTGTAGTCACAGCATGGCTGTCATGGGTGTGGTGTGCAGATGCAGGCTGGGCGGGGCACCTGGACACAGTCCCCTTCACCCCCGACACGTGACGGGCACAGCCTGATGATGGGGTCCCGGGACACCGGCCCTGAGGGGTGGGCGACCTAATCAACTGGCTGTCCTGCAGGGTTCAAGGACCCGGGCCCAGGCCCCGTGAGGTTGCTGGGATGGCCTGCTGAGTGCAGGCTGCTCCTGCTGGCCTCCTGTCAGAGCCAGATAGAAGCAGGAGGAACCACCGCCTTTCTCAGGGGATGGGGTACTCCTGTACCCCGTCTGGCCCTGCCAAGTGCTCTCGAGGAAAGAGCAACGGCAGGTAGGGGCAGTGACAGATAGGGCAGTGACAGGTGCCAGCAGAGGTGTCACTGCAGTCCCCGCTCCTGTTCCTCTCACAGGGCTCTCTTGCCCGACCCACACTACCCCTTCCTCACCCCTGGGCCTCCACGACCCTGTACCCCCTTCACCTCCCGCCAGCCCCACCCCTGCACCCTCCCAGACGTGTCGTCCGCCCCTTTGTTTCGAAGCCGTCCTTACGGGTGTGTCCGGCTGTCCCCGGGGGGTGGGGGCTGACCCAGGTGCCCGAGTCCTTGCCGTGCCTTGGGAGCCAGGCCCGGGCGTCACCCTGCCCTTCGCATGTCACTGGCAGGTGGGAGGAGGACTGCTCGGCGCCCACTCGGGCCGGCGGGGGCAACTGTCCTGTCCCCCCCGTGTCCCGCTGCTGGAAGCAGGAGGCAGCCTGGCTGCTCCTGTCCTGGGCGTGTGTCCTGTGTGTGGCACCATGCTGGGCCGGTCCCCCGGGTTCCCGCAGGTGATGGCCGGCAGGGCCCTTAGCTGGGTCGGCAAATAGGGCAGGACCGGGACCAGGACGGCGACAGGCCTCCCAGGCCATAACCCCGGGGCTGACCAAGGTCTCGCCTGGGACGCAGAGGTCCCCAGGTGCCATCACCCATGGTGAGAGGCAGCTTTGGATGGCAAAACTGGGGTTCCCAAATAGGGCAGGGGTGGGGTGACAGGGACTGGGGTGGGGACAGAGACAGCGTGGGGACAGGTGACAGGTTCAGAGGTGGAAGTGAGGTGACAGGACAGGGCTGGGGACGTAGTGACAGGGACAGTTTTGGGGATGAAGTGACACAGGAAAAGGAGAGGATAGGTGACAGCGATGGGTGTGGGGATGAGGTGACAGGGACGGGGTGGGGGCAGATGACAGGGACAGGGTGGGGTGAGGCAACTAGGACAGGGGTGAGATGTTAATGAGGTGACAGGAACCCATAGAGACAGGTGACAGGGGATGGGGAAGGGACAGGTGATAGGGACTGGTGGGGACAGGTGACAGGAATGGGATGGACAGGTGATAGATATGGGGTAGGGACAGGTGACAAGAACTGGTGGGGACAGGTGACAGGAACCTATAGGGACAGGTGACAGGGATGGGGAAGGGACAGGTGATTGATAGGGACTGGTGGGGACAGGTGACAGGGATGGGATGGACAGGTGATAAGATACGGGGTAGGGACAGGTGACAGGGACTGGTGGGAACAGGTGACAGGGACTGGTGGGAACAAGATGACACAGGGATTGGGCTGGAGAGGTGACACAGCATAGGAATGGGGTGACTTGAGGTGACACAGGCATAGGCCAATGATGAAGTGACGAAGTGACTTGGGTGAGGATGAGGTGACTGGGAGTGACAGGGACGGGGTGAGGGGCTGGGCACATCGGTGATGGTTTGGGGCCATGACTTGTAGACGCAGCAGTGACTGTGACCACGCCACCTAGAGTGACAGACGGTTCGGCGCCTACTGGGCTGCCATTCCCGTTCTCCATCTGGCTCCGGGCTCTGCGGGCAACTGGGCGGGGAGGGCAGCCCCCTCTCTCTGGCCCGCACATCTGTCAGCTGCCCCCAGTCCCACGCCCTGCAGCCCAGCCTGCACCCCGGGCTCTGCCGGGCTCCTTCCTGCCCCTCCCTTGGCCCCACGGCCAGCCTCTCCATCTCCCGTTCCTGCACAGGCCCGGCCCATGCCTGCCTGGGGGTGCCCCTGACTGGGGTTGGGGCATGTCGCAAGAGAGCCAGCTCCAGCAGCCGGCCTGGCCGGAAGGAGCATCACCGACTTGCTGTCCAGATCAGAGTGGTAGTGGCAGGTCTGGGGTCACTGCTCATGGCTACCTTCCTGCAGCTGAAGGGAGAACCTCTTGGTGGCCCTGCACAAAGCCACAAAGCACGGCACCGGAAAGCAGATTTCCGTGACAGGGCAGGTGAACGGCGTGCTGTTGGAGCAGAACTGCATGTCAGCTGCGGGCGGCCAAGAACTAGTAGTGCCATCAGGGCATTGACCACAAGGCCCATTCCCCAGGGCAGAGCTCACTGGTGCCCCCTGGGGGCCAGCAGTGGCCAGTTCCCAGGCCCCACAACCTGGCTCAGCTGTGAACCAGCTGGGTCCCCCTGCCCAGTGATAAGACCTCTCAGAGGTCAGTACCACTGCTTCCCTGGTTGCCTCCTCTGCCCCTTGGAAGGCGGGTCACGGGTGAGCTCCTGTGCTGGCAGGGCCTGTCTGCAGCGAGAGTGGGGAGCAGTTGGGAGGGCCTGGATGCACGGGTCTGTGCAGGGCTGCAGGGTGAACCTAGGACACAGGGGTGGGGAGGAACAGTCCCCAGGGACTCCCACCATGTTGGTCTCTTCTGTGCAGAAGGTGGGGCAAGGGCGGGGGGCTTAGGGCTAAGGGGGCTCAGGGCTGTAGGGGACTCAGGGCCGTGGGAGCTCAGGGCCGTGGGGGCTCAGGGCTGTAGGAGGGCTCAGGACCATAGGGGGCTCAGGGCTGGGGGCCAAGGGGCATGGGGCTCTGGGCCGTGGGGGCTCAGGGCCGTGGGGGCTCAGGACTCTAGGGGGCTCAGGGCCGTGGGGGCCTGGGCTCCACCTCCTCTTTGAGTTGCTGTTAAGAAACCTCCCAGCTGCTCCTAGTCACCTGTGGGCCCAGCATGCCGGGCTCTTAGGGGGTCTGTTCCTCCCCGTCTGTGCCCGTTCTGGGCAGCTGAAAGGTCCGGCTCAGGACTAGGTGAGAGGCTGACGTGCCGTGTTCGCTGCAGCCACTGCATCCAGCAGATCCTGGAGGCTGTGCTGCACTGCCACCAGATGGGGGTCGTCCACAGAGACCTCAAGGTGAGTGTCCCCTGCTCTTGCTTGCTTGGTGGTCATCTGTACCTGCATGGCATGCATGGAGGGGGCACATGGTGAGTCTGGAGCTGTGCATATGTGTGAGCCATGTGTGTGCACGCATGTTGCGTGTGTGCGTGTGAATCATGTGCACATGTGTGGTGTGTGAGCTGTGTGCCAGTGTGAGCCATGTGTGTGTTCTGTGCAGGTGCGTGTCATGGGTGCATATGTGATCTGGGGACATGTGTGAGCCATGTGCATGCATGAGCCATGTGTGGTGCATGAGCATGTGAGAACCATGAGCATGTGTGTGTATGAGCTGTGTACATGTGTATTGCATGTGAATGTATGGGTTGTGTGCACACGAGAGCCATGTGTGTTTGTTGTGTGCATGTGTGAGCTGTGTGAGAGCCATTTACAGATGTGTGCATGTATGAGCTGTGTGTACCATGTACAGGTATGAGCCGTGTGCATGAGAGTGGTGTGCACATATGTATGACCTGTGTGTGTCCTGTGTATGTGTGAGCCATGTGCATGTGAGCCTGTGCGTGTATGAGTTGTGTGTGAGAGCTGTGTATATGCATGTGCCTGTGCATATATGAGTCATGTACATGCATGTGTGCTGCCTGCCCTGGCCTGGCCCCTCTGGGCTGCAGGACCTGCCTGTTCACCTGTGTCCTCTCTGGGCTCTAGATGGCTCTGGCATGAGGGAGCAGGTGATTGTCTGCAGAAGTGGGGGTAGCGCTGCCTCGTGGTCTCTGTCTGGCCCTGGGCCAGGTCCTTAGTGGCTGCAGGACCAGCAGGTGTCTCTCTCTCTCTCTCCTGGGTTCAGGTCCCCCAAGTCCGGGTTCCAGTGGTGGTGGTGGCGGGCCGGCCTCCACACACAATGACTGCCCCAGTGTTCCAGGGTTCTCAGGGTCAGGCCCTCTCCTGAGCCCTGTGCGGGGGTCCCAAATCACTCTGGGCTCATCCGAAGTCCCCCCCCCCCCCGGAGTGCGGGTTCAGGGCAGGGCCATGTGCATCTCCTGTCTGTCTCTCGGGCCGGATCTGGACACACAGAATTGACTGAAAATGATGGCAGATGTGGGACCCCTCAGGGGGTGCAGCCTGGCTTGGCGGGAGCAGTTGTGTGTGCTACCTGCTCGGGCCCCGCCCACCCCTGCCCCCCGGGACCAAGTTTGCTGCAGTCGCCAGCCCTCCTCAAGTCGTCCCAGTTCCGACTTCCCCGTGCCCCCTGGCCCCTGGGCCTTAGAGGCAAGCTTAGGGTGTTCTGGGACATCAGGCCCATCTCTGGGCCTAGAGGCTGGTGAGGACTGTGCCCTGTCTGGGGTACTGGTGGGCACTCACACCCCCAACCCTGGCGATGGGTGGGACCCTGGTTTCTACAGCACCAAGGCAGAAGCAGCCTGGCCCTGTCAGGCCTGGTGGCCGGATCCTGCCGGCAGGGTCCAAGGTCCTGGGAGCCTGAAGCAGTCAGGGGCGGGGCGCCAAGCTGCAGTGGGCATGGGGACATGGGGCTAGTGGCCAGGTATCCATGACTGGGCCCGCAGCCTTCCTGGCGCACCCCAGACAGGACAGATGTTTCAGCGGCCCAGCTCTGTGCCAAGGCGGTGGGCACGAGAGGCAGCACGTCCTCTGGCAGTGGGCAGGAGGCGCTCCCAGGAGAGCCCTCCTGCTGTGGCCAGGCATCACGCCAGCTGGGGGTCTGGGCCTGGCTCTCCTCTAGCAAGTAGCCCCCTGCCCACGGGTCCTTTGCTGTGGCCCTTTGCTGGGTTTTGACTCCAGCTGCTGCTGCCATATTGGCAGGTCCTGCCCCGATGGAGTGCAGGGATGATTGGGGTACCAGGAAGGGGGATGGGGTGGGCTAGCTACAAGCCCGGGAAAGGGGCATTGGACAGGGGAACTGGACTTGGTGTGCGTCTGTCTAAGTGTAGCTTTCTTTGTGGCAACTTGGGGACTCACCAGAAGTCAGTTGTGTCCTGGGGATCCCCCATAGGGGTGAGGGTGGGGTTGGCCTTGGGGGCCACAGCCAACTCTGCTCTGTCCCTTGGTGCTGTGGGGGCACCCATGGCCTTCCTGCAGCCCGAGAACCTGCTCCTGGCCAGCAAGTGCAAAGGGGCTGCCGTGAAACTGGCGGATTTCGGGCTGGCCATCGAGGTGCAGGGCGACCAGCAGGCATGGTTCGGTGAGTCGGCAGGGGCCGGGCGGGCGGAGCCCCTGCAGGCTGTCCACGACCCCCATGGCCCCTCACATGCCCCGCCCTGTCCCAGGCTTCGCAGGCACGCCGGGCTACCTGTCCCCAGAGGTCCTGCGCAAGGAGGCCTATGGCAAGCCAGTGGACATCTGGGCCTGCGGTGAGGCCCCAGGACTATCCTGTGTCCAGCCAATGGGGTGGGGGGGGGACGTGTGCATGGGCACAGGGTGCCGGAGAGGTGAGCCCCTGTGGCAGCTGCCTTGGTGGGGGGCAGCGCCCGGGGGCTAGGACCCCCTCGTTCGGGCTGTTTGAGAACAAGCACCTGAGCCCCCAGGACTCCGGGAGCTCCCGGCCTCCCCTGAGCCACAGCGGAGGCCCTGCCCTCGGCTTCTCCCCAGGGGTGATCCTGTACATCTTGCTGGTGGGCTACCCGCCCTTCTGGGACGAGGACCAGCATAAGCTGTACCAGCAGATCAAGGCTGGCGCCTATGACGTGAGTCCCCGGGACCGGGGCAGGGCTGGGAGAGCTCGTCCCCCACCCCGCAGACGCGCTGCACACTGCCCTCTCTGCCCCTCCCCTCTCCAGTTCCCGTCCCCCGAGTGGGACACGGTGACCCCCGAAGCCAAGAACCTCATCAACCAGATGCTGACCATCAACCCGGCCAAGCGCATCACTGCGCACGAGGCCCTCAAGCACCCGTGGGTCTGCGTAAGTCCCCGCTCAGCTGGTGCCCCACTGTGCCAGGCGCCTGGGTAGAAAGCTCAGGTGGTTGGGGACCCCCGGTGGGTTTGCAGGGTCCCCAGCCCTCAGGGAGAGGCGGCCCTGCCCTGGGTGTGAGCGGAGGGATAAGCTAGGGGGCAGGAGGCAGGGGGAAGGGGGACCTCGGCAAGGTCCCTCGGTTCGGCGGCCAGTGGCAGGCTCAGCAGCGGCCTCTCCCCTGCAGCAACGCTCCACAGTGGCCTCGATGATGCACAGGCAGGAGACCGTGGAGTGCCTCAAGAAGTTCAACGCTCGGAGGAAGCTCAAGGTGAGAGCAGGCGTGGGTGGGCCTGAGCGGTGTCGCCGGGCGCTGCCCAGAATGGGGGCCGGGTGGGCGGAGTAGAGCCACCGCAGCAGGGCCTCCTGCATGGCACACTGTCTCATGGCACCTGCCGGTCCCCAGAGCATGAGGGGCGGGGGGAGCAGTGGGCAGTGCTAACACCGGGCACCTGACCTGCTCCGGGGGTGCTGCATGGAGCCAGCACCAGGTGCCTGCCAGTGCTGAGCCTGCCCTCGGGACTCCCCAGCCGAGCCCGCGCTGGGCCGGGGTGGCGGGCCAGGCGGGCAGCTGGACATCCGGGTGCACCCGGTGAGTGGCGGTGCATCAGCAGTGACTGGCCAGCTGTGGCCGCTGCCCCGCGGGCCCCTTCGCCAGGCCAGAGGGGCTGTTGCTGGCTGGTACACAGCCCAGCCTCACTGAGTGTCCCTCCCCCAGGGTGCTATCCTCACCACCATGCTGGCCACGAGGAACTTCTCAGGTGAGACTCACCTTCTGGAGGAGCAGGGCTCAGAGGGGGCAGGGGACTCCCCACTGCCCCTCCCTGGCAGAGGAGGCTCCAAGCCCGTCCTGCCCCGAGCCCCACACATGGCTGTCTTGCGTGTCGGGTCTGTGTCCTCACTGACGCCCCATGTCTCTGCTGCGGGCCACGGCTCTGTGTGTGTATGCGCGCGCGCGGCCGTGGGTCCAGTTGCTGTGGCCTCGTTGTTCACGGAATCTTCTGGAAGCCTGTCTTGTGGGGGTGCAGTAGTGGGATGAGGGGATCCGGGCAGCCTCTGTGAGCGCTGGAAGCCCCTGAGTGTCGAGAGGCTGGGCGCGGGCCGTGCTGGGGGTGGGGGCCGGGGCCCGGGGCCAGCCGAGCCTGTGGGGCGGTGTTGTCCAGCTGGGGCCTGCTGCCCCCCGGCCGTCCTGCCTTGTGTCCCGTCTGTCACTGCGGCGTGTCCGTCACCCTGTCGTCGCCGCCCACCCCCCTCTGTCCTGTTCCTTTGCTGTGACTGTGCTGCTGGGCTGGGACGTGTCACTCCCGGGAACTGCCCGCTGGCCACAGAGAAGCCCCCGCCGGGGTTTCTAAGGAGAAAGGAGGCAAACGCTTTCCCAGTGTCATTCGGTGTCCATCTCCTCGTTCTCACTCTCCGGTGAGGGGGATTCTGGAACCATCGACCACCAAACTTGGACTCTAATCTCCTTCTGCTTCCTTTGTCTCTTCTCTCCCCACCTGCCCGCCCCCGTGTGTGTCCGCCCTGCCCCTCGTCTCTCCCCCGGTGCTAACAGTGGGCAGACAGACCACCGCTCCGGCCACAATGTCCACCGCGGCCTCCGGCACCACCATGGGGCTGGTGGAACAAGGTAGTTGCTCTTGCCCGGTGCCCGCCTCCTGGCCTGGCCCCTTCGCTGCACGCAGCCGCCCATGGCCCGGGAGCCCCGCTCCTGCCCTGGGCCCCCGCTGAGGGCAGGAGGGCAGCCGCCGGGCAGCCCCAAACTGTGCTCTGTCCACCTGTGTTCCGCTGGACCCTCCCGGTAGCCTGGGGCCTGCCGACCCCTGTCCCTGAGGTTCTGTCCACCCCCCCCCCCCTCCATCCACCTCTCTCCCCGCTCATCTGCCTTGACCCACCTCCAGGAGGCGCCTGGGGCTTCAGTTCCTAAACAGGATCCTGGAGACACGGGCATGGGGGCCGGGCGCCACTGGCAGCCTGGCACAAGGCTCCCCAGGCCCACTCAGGAGCCTCCCCCCCGCACTGGTCATCAGGGCCTCTGTGCCCAGGACAGGGGGTCTGGCTGCTGGAAAAGCCCCGTGAACTCCTCCCGTTCCCTCCACACGGAGGGACCCTGCCCTCAGCCGGGCCTGGGAGTCAGGCCGGCCCGCCGCTGGCCCTGGGCCTAGGGCACCGCTGCTCTGGTCGGCTGAGCATGGCACGGCCCAGGGTGCTGCTGCCCGGCCACCCATCCTTCCTAGCCCGCTCCTCCCCGCCCAAGGATTCCCACGCCCACACTGGCCCACACTGGCAAGGGACTCGGGGCCGTGGACGTGTTCAGCTGTCCAGTGGCAGCCTTGCCTGGGGGCTCTGGGCAGGTCAGAGACAGCCAAGGGGGCTCTAGGCCCGGCCGCTCTTTTGGGGGCGCTGCCCGCCGCCCGCCCGCCTGCCTGTCTGCATGAGGCCACGTGCATGTGTGGCTCCAGCTCGGGAGAGGCCAGCGCATGCAGCGGACCCCAGCATGGCCAGCCCGAGAGCAGCCAGGGGACACGGGCAGGCAGTCCTCGGGCCTCGCTGTGGCCGCTGCTGAGAGCCGTCCCTCAGCCTGTGGGGATGCTGAGACTCGGCCCACAGCTCCGCTGTGAGGACGGTGCCCGCCTGAGGGTCGGGCCTGCTGGCGGCCCGGTGCCCTGTCTGAGGGAGCCAAGCAGTGGGCACCCAGGAGGCTCGTCCAGGACTCGGGCGCCCGCTGCTCCCAGGACGCAGCACGTTGGGGGCATGGTGAGAAGGACCGGGCTACTCACGGCCCCTGGAGACCTGAGCTGTGGTCCTATAGCCCCGGGCCCCAAGGAGGTTCGGAGGCAGAAGGAAGCAGTGTGGGTTGGGGGGCTTGGGCGGCCAGGCTGTGGGACCCAGAGCCCAGCCAGCCCGTGCCCCTCAGCACCCCCACAAACCACCACTGGGGGTGGGGTCCCCTTTCCTGCTGCTCTGCTCCCGAGGAACTTTGAACAGATCAGCCCCTGAGCTGTGTCCAGGCGGCTGGGCAGCACTGACCGGGCTCCGGCCCCGGCTTCAGCAGCCTCCTACGTCAGGGAGGTGGGGGATCCAGGGGACAGAGGAGGGGCCCGCTGTCCCCCCGGGGAGTCAGGGTGAGGCAGGCGGGAGCTGGGCCCTCGGCAGACCCCACAGAGCACCCGGCCTGGTGGCGGGGCAGGTAATACGTCCAGGTCCTTTCCTGCTTCTCAGGCAGCTGACTGCAGACTGGCCACTGCTCCCTGGGAACTTGAGGCTGGTGTGTGTGTGTATGCGCGCGCGGGGGGGAGGCTGGGGAGTAAATGTGCTGTGACGGAGGCCTACACAGGGGGGTGGGGGGCGGCTGTGAGCCCCCCCGGTGCTGAGCAGGTGGCAGCCTTGCTTCTGGCCTCAGACAGTGGCCCCTGCCCGGGGCCTTCAGCGAACGCAGGGCCGGGACGCCAGGGGGTGCTGCAGATCCCGTGCCCTCAGTGCCCAGGGATGGGCGAGTGGGGCAAGGGGTGTGGCGGGAGGGGGCTAGACAGGGTTGTCAGGAGGGTGGGGTGGGGAGGTGACCCCGTGAACACCCCTCTGGCTCTCGCAGGCGGCCCAGCACTGCCCGCCTGCCGGTGCTTCTGCTCCTGCTCTGGGCACAGGTGGCACTTCCAGGTGGCGTCAGCAGAGCAGCTGCGGGGGCCCCTGGCCCCTGGCCCTACTGCACCTCTGCACCTCGCTGTGTCGGGCGGGGCCGCGCGGGCTCCGTGTGTGGCCAAGTGCCCGCCTGACCAACACAAACCTTGTTCTCTCTCTCTCCTCCCTCCTGTCCCCGTCTCGCCGCCCCTTTCTCGCAAGGTAAGCTCCATCCCTTATGCGGGGGGTCGGCTCCTGCACTGCAGCGCGTGGAGGGGTGCGGTGACTGTGGGTGCACTTGGGCCTCTGGGACACAGGCAGGTGGGCCGGGGGTGGGTGGGCACAGAGCAAGTTCTGCCCCCGCCAACCAGGCCAGCGGGCGCTTTGAGAGCAGTGGGGGAGGAGCACTGGGCAGTGGGCGGTCCGAGCCGGGAGCAGCAGCCAGCTGCCCGCTCAGCTTGGGGGTCCCCCCCCCGACAGGCAGCCTCTGGGGAGGCGGCCAGAGCTGCATCCCGTTTCCCGAAGCCTGCCTGGAAGCCGAGGGGTTCCGCGGGGAGTCGGGGACCCTGGGGGCCCGGAAGCCGCTTCACTCAGGCCCCCGGTTTGCTCCCACAGAGCAGCCAAGAGTCTACTCAACAAGAAGGCAGATGGAGTCAAGGTGAGGCCCGCCGACTCTGCACCGGGTGCCGGGCGCCCCCCAGGCCCTCCCCTAACGGTGCCTCTCCCTTCCTCCACAGCCCCAGAGCAACAGCACCAAAAACAGCGGAGTGGCCACCAGCCCCAAGGGGACGCTTCCTCCTGCTGCTCTGGTACTGATCCCTCTTGGTGCCCAATCTCAGCCCCCTCCTGGCACCATCCCCTCGTAGTACTGACCCCTCCTGTACTGGCTCCGTAACCCCCTCCTGGTGCTAGTCCTAGTGCTGACTGCCCACCTGGTACTGACCCCTCAATCCCACCCCCCCACCTGTAATCTCTTTTTAAATCCCGGTGAGATACATAGTTACAAAATTGTTTCAGTCATGCAGTGTTCCGGTACCTGCCCCTTGCAGTACACATTCCCGCCATCCCACCACCAGTGTCCCCCCTCCTGACACTGCTCCCCCCCCAGCCCCTCTGCCTGTGCTGCAGGCGGGAGGAGAGAGCCTCCCTGTCTTCCCATCTGGACTCCAGGCTGGAGCTCTGGGCAGGAGGGCGGGCGGCAGACTTGTCCCACCAGGCGACCCTGGCCCGTCGCCTCTCTCAGAAAGGTGTTCTGGGAGATGAAGAGTAAAGGCAGACACGTCTGTGTGGGGAATAGAGGGAGGGACACACACACACACACACACACACACACACACACACACACACACGCAGAGCAGAGCTCAGGAGCAGGGGCTTCCCCGGAGGGAGGCGAGGACAGTCCCCTCGGGGTCACGGGGCCCAGCATGGTGGGCACGGCCCTGTGGAGCTTGTTGGGCCACATGCGGAGCCGTTTCTCTGGAACGGGGCTCCCTTGGATATCCGAGTGTGCCTGGGGCCGGCCGTGCTCTGCAGGGCATTGTGCATCTCAGCGGGTCCCAGCGCCTCAGAGGCCTTTGGCTGTTCAGAGTCCTTCCTGCACACCTGAAGCAGGGGTCGGCCCCTCAGCCCCTCCCATACCAACCCTCAACTCCCCACTTCCCACTACTGCCCCCCGCCCTTTCCCTGACCTCTGGCCACCCCCCTTCCCCACTGCCCCATGCTGCATCTGCCAGGGTAGAGGAGCTGTCAGCCTCTCAGCATAGCTGCCCCAGTGTGGGGTGGGCCACCCTACAGGCAGTGTGGGCTGTTCCAGAGCCTCTTGGCTCAGGGGGCACCTGGGTTGTATTGGGGGCCTCTCTGGGGTCAGGGGGGCACCTGGGCTATATTTGGGGCCTCTCTGGGGTCAGAGGGCACCTGGGCTGTGCTGGGGACCTCTCTGGGGTCAGGGGGCACCTGGGCTGTATTGGGGGCCTCTCTGGGGTCAGGGGCATCAGTGCTGTCCTAGGGGCATCTTTGGGGTCGGGGTCACCTGGGCTGTATTGGGGGGCCTCTCTGGGGTCAGAGGGCACCTGGGCTGTTCTGGGGGCATCTCTGGATCGGGGGGCACCGTGGTTGTATTGGGGAGCGTCTCTGGGGTTCAGGGGCACCTGGGCTATATTGGCGGCCTCTCTGGAGTCAGGGGGTATCTGAGCTGTCCTGGGGCATTTCTGGGGTCAGAGGGCACCTGGGATGTGCTGGGGTCTTGTCTGGTATCTGGGGACATCTGGGCTGTGCTGGGGTCCTCTCTGGGGCCAGGCTTCTCTCCTTACTCACTTTGGCGTCGAGTGAGAGGCTTTCAGGGCTACACAGGCCTGGACCAGCAAGCGAGGCAGGGAGGTGGGCAGGCCTGAGGGCTGCAGACCCTGAGCGCCCACAGTGCTCTTGGGGTGCCCCCTGGGCGGCAGGACCTGGGCCGACCATCTGTGTTCACCTCATGGTCCGCAGGCACGGGTGGGCGTGCCCTCTGCACAGAGGGAAGCCACAGGGTCTGGTGTCCTCGAGGCCGGCTCCTCGCTGACCGTGACTTTGCCCATTGGCCCTCTGGGGAGTGGGGGCGGCCCCCTGAGGGGGCAGAGCTGGGCGTGGTGGGAGGGGGGCCTGGGGCCTCCCAGCAGCCTCCCAGCCAGCCCCGTCTCGGACCCATCCATCCATGTGCCACCACACCCCATAACATCTCCAAGCCCGTGTCAGGCTGAGAGCCGGGCAGCCACGGTGGCCGCAGCTTCGCCAGCTCCATCTCCCTCTGAGGCTCCGCCGCTTGCTCGTGCACCACCCGGTCTGCGCTCTCTCTGCAGTCCGTGCTCCATCCGCTGTGCTCCTCCTGCGGCCCGCTCCTCCCCGGGGCCTTGTCCCGGGTCTCACCTGGCCTCTTCCCCCCTCTGTGCTTCTCTCCTCTGTAGGAGCCTCAAACCACCGTCATTCATAACCCCGCCGACGGGATCAAGGTACTGAGCGCCCCCGCCCTGCCACCGCAGCCCCGGCCTGGCCCCCGGCTGCTGCGCTGCCCACTGGGTCATGGGGGGCGGCCCCTCCCAGGGCCAGGCCAAGCCCCCAGAGTCCATCGCTGCCCCGGGCGCAGCGGGGCTCACTTCTCAGGGGCATGCCCAGCTGCCCGTTGCCCTGCTCTGGCCTTGTTCCTCCGGGGCACACACAGCCCCAAGCAGCCAGAGAGGGGCTGGTCCCGGGGGCAGGGTGGGCCTCGAGACCCCACGGCCCTCCCCCCATCGCTCACTGTGCAGCCCCAGCTTCCTGCTGACTTCGCCCTTCCGTCTGCGCTGGCATCCATCCCATCGGCATTTCACGAGGGGCCAGGGAAGGGGCTGGCTCTCTGGGGTGCGGGAGGGAAGGGCAGGCGGCTGAGTGTGTGCAGCAGGTGCCGGCCCCCGCCTACCCGCAGGCTGCGGCCAGACCCCACGCGGGCTCCTTGGGGAACCTAGGGGGCCATGGGTGCTCGCTCCGGGGCTTCCTGGGCACGGGAATTCCTTCCCCGTGTCAGGGCCGCGCCCCCTCTGAGCCCCCCTGGCCTCCTGGGGGCTGTGGGCTGAGGGCTAAGTCCCGGAGGGGACTGTGGAAGTCCTGCCCCGATGGTTCACTGCCCCAGGTGGGGCCTGGTGCTTCATCTGAGGGGCAGCGGCGTCTCCGTGTGCTCGGGACTACCTGCTGGGCTGGGGGCTGGGGGCTGGCCAGGGCCGTGGGGGCGTGTGCGCGGGGCTGCCCCAGGCTCCCGGAGGAGCAGCGGGGGCAACGCACACACCTTGTCTCCTGACCCGGAGAGGTTGAAGCTCGGCCCTACCTCGGGGCCTGGGCTGGGCGCTTGGGGGCGTCTCCTGTCCTGGACCAAGGCTTGGCGCTGACCCTTCCCCTGTCTCCCCAGGAGTCTTCTGACAGCACCCACACCACCATCGAGGACGAAGACACAAAAGGTACTGGGAGGCGCCGTGCCGGGCCAGGGCCATGTCCAGGGCTGTGTGCAGGGCGCCGGGCTCCTGCCTCCCCTTCACCAGGCCCTCTGGCTGCGGGGCCCCGGCTGCCACCTGGGAACAAGTCGAGGTTATGTTTGCTCGGTTCCATCGAAGGTTCCTTAACCTGTGTCCCTCCTGGGCTGGCGGTCACTGGTGGTCACTGTCAGGCAAGAGGGAAACTTCTGGGGCTGGGTCAACAACAGCACCCTGGAGGGCTCTAGGGAAACTGTGTCTGTCTGTGCTTAGGCCTCTGGGCTGCCCTCCCCATGCAGGGCAGCGCACAGGACTGCTGAGCACTGCAAACCCTGCACGTCCAGTAGACTGCTCCCTGCCCGGCACTCTGGTCCCCCACCCAGGCCACCAAACCCCACCAGGGCTGCTCTGCCCACACCCTCAGGGCTGCCCACACAGGCTCTCTGCCTCCCAGGGCCTGCCTGTGCCCCTGTAGGCAGGAGAGGAAAGGGTGGGAGCACATCGGGGGCACCATGGGGGGCAGGACCCAGCCTCTCTTCTTGAGCCCAGGGGCCACCACCCCCAGAGTGCCCACCCGGCTTGAGCCGGCCCAGAATCCCTGCCTCAGAGCCCGCCGGCCCTCGTAAGCTGCGTCCAGGCCTGTCCCAGATGGGGCCCAGCCCACCCCCAGGGCCCCGTAGGTCTCCCGGGGGCCGGGCCCGTGGCGGGGCAGAGTGAGACCTGTCCTGTTCCTTCCCTCAGCCCCGCCTGTTGCCGTTCGCCTTGCGTCTGTCTGCCCCCTATGTCCCCCTCTGTCTGTTCACCCAGCCCCCAGGATCTCTGACCTCCTGAGCTCCGTGAGAAGGGGCTCGGGGACCCCAGAAGCTGAGGGCCCCCTGCCCAGCCCGTGTAAGTAGTTTCCCCCGAGCCTGCTGCCTTGCTGCCCACGGCCCCGCGCCCCGCCCCTCAGCACGCCGCAGCTGTGCAGGCTCTCGGGGCTCCTGCGTCCCCTCGGACCCGGCCCCCAGCTACCCCTGCTGCCTGCACTGTCTGGCCCAGGCCTCCTGGGGGTCCCAGAGCCCTATGAGGTCACTCCCCCCACCCCCGTTCACCACCGAGAACCTTCATGACCTCATGAGGGTGCCGGGAATGCGCTCTCTGCAGCCCTGCTCCACCAGTTGGGACCCGCGGCCCCGTCTCGCCTGCCCTGTCCCGCAGGGCCACCCCCGCTGCCCCCTCTGCTCTGCCTGCGCCTCGCGCGCCTCCCCACCCCCCCGCGAGGGCCCGGGCCCTGCTTACTGCCACGTGACCTCCCTAGCGGGCCCCGGTTCCTCGTGTTCCCTGCACCACGAACTCCCCGTGTGTCCCCCGATCCCTGTGCCCACTGTGTCCTCTGTCGCCCGCCGCTCCGTCCCTCCGTCCCCGTGATCCCCACTCCGTCCCCTGCCCACCTGCCTGGCTCATCGGCCCACAGCTCCTGCTTGTGCTCCTCCTCTTGTGTCCCCCTCTGTCTGTTCACCCAGCCCCCAGGATCTCTGACCTCCTGAGCTCCGTGAGAAGGGGCTCAGGGACCCCAGAAGCAGAGGCCCCCCTGGCCTGCCCGTCTCCAGCTCTCCCTGGCCCCCCACCCACCCCGAGTAAGTAGCAGCTTGAGTGGCCACTCCCAAGGGCTCACTCCACTGCAGTGCACTGGCCCACTCTGGGAGGGTCCAGTGTGGGGGGTCAGAGAGGGGAGCTGAGGGTCCCTGGCCTCAGGAAACAGGCCGTGGGGAGAGCAGCTCTCCGGGCTCCTGCCTCCAATGCCTGGGGCACCCCAGTTAGGGACAGGGCTTGTCCAGCACGCAGGGGAACACAGGCTGCCCACACTGCACAATGGCAGCTGGAAGGGCGGGTCCTCTGGATGCCACGTGGGGTACAGTGACAGGGAGGAGCCACCTGCAGCCACCTGCTGGCAGAGGGTATCACTTAACAGGGCCCAGCCTACTGCCCGGAGCTGCGGGCTGGCACCAGGCACTGGGGGCGGCCGCAGGGCCGGGCATGGCCGCCGAATGGCTGGGTGAGTGTCTGCCTAGGACAGGCATGAGGCGGGAGGGGATGCCCCCACATTTCCACAGACCCCCCCCCCCCCCAGGCTGGGGCAGGAGTCGGGAGCTCTAGAATGCACGGAGCAGCCAGGTTTACTCCGCTCGGTGGTCCTGGGCAGGGCCCTGCAAGGTCCAAAGCTGTGGTCTGGTCGGGTGTGCAGTGGGTAGGCAAGGGGCGAGAGGTAGCCCGGGTGGGTGAGGGGAGCTGCAGAATCGCGCAGGGTGACGGCACCCTGAGAGCTGCATTCCTGCCCCCGCTCATGCCGAGGCCTCAGTATCGCTTCCTCTGGGGGCAGGGCTGCAGGGGGCCCTGACAAGAGACTGGGCGGTTGGGGGGGAACAGCCAGTGGCCACAGTGCTCCCGAGAGCCTGAGGGCTGATGCGTGTGCCTCCCCCCAGACGAGCCTGCCTGCTGTCTGGGCATAAATGGGCTGATGTCACCGAGCTCCCTGCACCCCCACAGTAGTAGCTGAGGACAGGCTGGGGCTAGCCTGGGGCCCTGGGGTCCTCTTGGACACTTTGCCAGCCTGTTCACCTGTCCCTAAAAGGCTGGAGCTTGGGTGCAGTTTATCTTGGGACTCCTTCCTGCAGACTCTGCCCTTCCCTCGACTCCCTCCCACAAGTTTTATGGGAGCAAGGGCAGCTTGACCCCAGCTAGCGGGCTTGACCTGGGGAGTCCGCGTATAAGCATGTCATGTGGGCAGGTGGCCCCTGCTCAAGGTCCGGCTTCAGAGGGCACGTGCTGTGTGGGCCTGGCCCTCTGCCCGTGCCCTCATTCACTCAGACGCCCCGTGTCCCTTCCTGAAGCCCCAGAGCCGCTTCACTCGAGCGGGGTATGGCCCATCGGAACAAGTGTGCAGTGGGGAGGGCGCTTTCCTTGCATGTCGCCGACCTCATGATCCCCCAAGCACCATCAGGAAGAATTCCTGAGCACAGAGCCAGGAGTAACTCCTGAACATTGGCACCCCAAAAGAATTCATTGTGAACATTGTGGAAAAGGTGTGCGGGGGGGCAAGGAGGCTGACACGTGCCAGTCATGAGTCGGGCGCTCCCCAGAATTCCCCTGCACACAGAGTGGGGTGCTGGACAGGGGCGGCAGGAGGCAGGCGGGGGCGGGCTGGGTGAAGGGCAGCTGCTGGGCAGAGAGGGCGGGATCCACAGGGGTCAGGCTCTGGGCTGCACTTCCCAGCCTCAGGCCTCTCTGCGCACGGGGCCAGGGGAATGGGGTTGGGGGAGGGGCTCCGGGTGCTGAAGGTGAGGGAGAGGCTCACGACCAGAGGGTGTTCAGGGTGACAGGTGGGCGCAATCCGCTTTGCAGCTCAGGTAGAGCTGGCTGTGGAGCAGGACTGCAGGGGGCCCGCGGGGGCTGAAGTCGCAGTTTCTCCTGCTGCCCATCTCAGGCTCCCGGAGCCTCAGTCCTGAAGCACGTCCAGGGCCCAGGAGGAAAGGGAGCGGCAGAAGCAGAACTGGCCTTCGCAGCCTGGGCACGGTCACTGCTGCGTGAAGATGCAGTTACGCAGCGTTAGACAGCACACACGCACATGCATGGGCACACGGGATACACGGACACACACACACTTAGACACATGTACAGGGCACACCCAGGCATAGGTACACGTGCACACATGTAGAGACACACACAGGCACAGGCACACACATGTACAGGCATGAATGCTCAGGTGCGCACACACACAGGCAGCACCTGTCTGTGAGCTCCTCCTGAGTCAGGGGTGACCTGCCTTCTGAGGTGCGGGGTCGGTGGGTGCCGGAGGAGGCACCCCTTGGAGGTCGGCAGCGTGCTGTCACGGGCCGGCTGTGGCCACTGCAGGGCTGGGACATGCTCAGCCCAGCACTGGTGTGTCCTGTGCAGTTGGGGCTGGACCTGATCCTTCATGGGGGGAGCAGAGACTCAAGGGGTCCTGGGGGAATGTTGCTAGGATCACACGTGTCTCAGGCTGAGGCTGATCACAGGTATTTACCACTTTAAGAGCTCACCATGCTGTGTGCATGCAACATGTATGCACACACATGTGCGCATGTATGTGTGCATGCCTGTGTGTGTGTGTGTGTGTGTGTGTGTGTGTGTGTGTGTGTGTGTGTGCTGGCTGTGAGTACATGTGCATGGAGGTGGCGAAGCACCTGATTCAGGATGAAACTTCTCTCCGAGAGCGTGAGAGAGCAAGGTTAAAGGGAACATGGGAAGATGGCTGAAGCAAGCAGGAAGTGGGTGGTTTGAGCCAGCAGGGTGCAGAGTCCCGTGTTCTCTGCTTCTTCCATACCTTGGGCATATGCTGTGGTTAGACACCCTGGGGTGCCGGTGAGGACTGGGCCTGATGGAGCAGAGGCCACGGGCAAGCCCTTTCTCAAGGCTGCGGGGCCGCAGTGGGCTAGGGTGTGGACTGATGATGCTGGCCAACACGAAAGGGGGACCTGGAGAACTGGGACCCCTAGGCTTAGGGCCACTCCCCTCTACTGTGCCCTGGGGTCCCACATTGTCAGATGTGGGGGGCTCTGGGCTGGGGTGCAGGACAATGAGCAGCCCCAGAGCCGGTGCTGGGTCGCGGCCGTGGCAGCTGGGGGCCCCTGCTGGCATCTTGCAGGTATTCGGTACCATGGACAGGTCATTTCTGTCCCTTAAAAGCAAAGCTGATTGGAGCTAAGGCGTGGAGCCGGCAGTTCCAGCTGGCTGAGAGGGGGGCCGGCCTCGGGCCCTGCAGGAGAGGAGGCGGTGGGTGCTGCCCAGCCTGGCAGATGCGCTGCCACGGGTTTATCTCCCACAGCAAGGAAGCAGGAGATCATCAAGATCACGGAGCAGCTCATCGAGGCTGTCAACAACGGGGACTTCGAGGCCTACGCGTGAGTGGTGGCCCCGGTGGGGGGGAGGGGGCGGTAGGGCGACTCTCCCTAGGGAGAGGGCTGATGGAAATGGAGGGGAGAGGCGGGATCCGAGCCACGCCCACCCATCACATGAGTGTGGCCCCCAGGAAAATCTGCGACCCAGGCCTGACCTCATTTGAACCCGAAGCTCTGGGCAACCTGGTGGAAGGAATGGACTTCCACAGATTCTACTTCGAGAACCGTGAGTGAGGGGGCGGGGTCTGGCGTGGGCGGAGGGTGGGTCTGGTTGGAGGGGCGCGCCAGGAGCCTCGCGGAGGGTCGGGCTCCACGGGTCCCCGCGGGAGGGGACGGACAGCATCGCGGTGCTGGGCGCTCAGCCCTGCCTGCCCCGCAGTGCTCGCCAAGAACAGCAAGCCCATCCACACGACCATCCTGAACCCGCACGTGCACGTGATCGGCGAGGACGCCGCGTGCATCGCCTACATCCGCCTCACGCAGTACATCGACGGCCAGGGCCGGCCCCGCACCAGCCAGTCCGAGGAGACCCGCGTGTGGCACCGCCGCGAGGGCAAGTGGCAGAACGTGCACTTCCACTGCTCGGGCGCGCCCGTGGCGCCGCTGCAGTGAAGGTGAGCACCGCGGCCGCGCGGGGCGGGGAAGGCCCGGCCGCCGCTGACCCTGTCCCCTTTGCAGAGTGCGCCGCTGCCGCGGGACAGATGGATGTTTGGAGCCAGCCGCCCTCGGGCGCAGGCCTGCCTGTCGCATGTTTGTGTCTGCCTCGTTTCTCCCCTGGTGCCCGTGTCTGCAGAAAACCAAGACCAGATGTGTGATTTCTTTTTAAAAACAAGATGACAGCGACGACCACAAAAAAAAATTTCATGCTGGATGAAATGGGGAAAGGAAAAAAAAAACAAAAAACACTTCACAAAGGAAAAGCTGTAAAAGTCACTGGCATTTGTGGGACTTGCAACCGACTGGCTGCTCCCTGCCCGAGCTCCGCGTGTGTCCGTCTGCTCCTGGCCGCTGGGGACAGCCGGCCATGAACTCGTCCAGGGCCTGTGGCGTGGAGTGGTGCCCATCCCCGCACCCGCAGCACCCCCCTTCCCCGCCTGCATGGCTGCCATCAGAAGTCAGCTGTTGTCTGGGCAGGGGCTATGGGGTCCCTCCAGCTTCCCTTCCTTCCTCCCCCGTGCCCTGTGTGGCCAGGTCCTTCTGGGGGCGGGAGGTGCAGAGAGGACTCACCTTAGTGCCACCGTTGGCCTGCAGTCCTGCGGGCAGGGCCCGTGTACCAGCCTCGTCACCTGTCGGGGGACTTTTCCTTCTCTGCTCCCCCACCCCAGCCCCCATGGGTCCCCGTGTTCCCCGGCCGGAAGGCCACGCTGCAGGCAGGGCAGGAGGTGCCATCAGGGGGTCAGGTAGGTGACGCTGAGGTAGCGTTTGGAGTCCAGCGGCAGTGGGGAGCCACTGAAGGTCGAGAAGGGCAGAGGCTGCCATGGGAAGAGGGGAGCGGGGTCACCGTGGGCCCTGCGTGCCCCAGGCACTGTGGGACGGTGGGCTAGAGACCTGCTGGGCTGTGCTTGGGGTTCAGTCAGGGGTGATGGCTGCAGAGATGCGGGTTCCTCCTGCCCCTGTGCCTAGCCCCCCCCCAAATCATTTCAACAAGGATTTTCTTTCTCTTGCCCCACAAATCAAGCCGAGCTGGGGAGGGGCACAGCATGGGGACAGGACATGGGGATGCTGACTTCCAAGGGGACCGTCCACCGACAGACATGATGGACACTCATGCCTGCCACGGCTGTGCTCAGGACAGCCGTCTCCCGCACCCCCATGGACACAGGGTAAACATCCAACAGGGCTTGCCACGGACAGCGTGGGGCCTGGCCACCCTCACCTCCTGGGGCTCCTCCCCGCTCCCACCCACCATTGTCCCCACAGACCTGCCTGTCTGGGATCGTTGGGGACTCCTTCTGGGGGACAGTTCTTTTGCATGACCCCTCCTGAGCAAGCCACACCACTCTTCTCGCTCGATGTCTGCGGTGTGGCGCGGCGGTGGCTGGCCTGCCCAGGGCCAGCTGCCCGCGGTGCTGGCCAGCCTTCCCTCTTCTCTTTTTGCTGAGTTTCATTGTCTTTTCTTTCTGAGCCTTGTAAGTGTACAAAAATTATTTTGTCCTGTCTCGGGAAACTGCAAATAAAAGAAAAACAAGGACAAAGTGCCATGTGTGTGGCTGGGTGCTTTGAGCAGTGGCCCCGTTCTTCTGAGCGTGGGCCCCACTTTCAGGGCTGCGAAAAGCCCCGAGCCTGAGGAAGCACAACAAGCCAGGACTCGGGGTGTCCTTCTGGGCCGTCACAGGGCAGAGGTCCCAGATACCCCCTACTACAATCCCAGCAGCCCTGTCAGCCCTGAATGTGGGCTCAGAGCCCCCTTTCTTGAGTCTGCCCCCAGCCTGCAGGTAGCACCCAGGAAGGCAGTTCCTGCCCCACTCCACGTCTGTCACTCCAGGGTGGTGCTCGCCTCCAGCCCAGCTTCTCCCAAGTGTAGAATGTGTCAAGTGTGATGCTCACCTCCTGCCCCACTGCTCCCATCACCTGAGGGGTACTCACCTTCCCCCAAGTGTGCCCAGATGCACACGGTTCCAGGGGCAACAGCAGAGCTATGGCTTTGGGGACAGGGAGTGGCAGGGCCATGAAAGCCCAGAGCAGCAGGTGGAGGTGTGGGGGCAGGAAGGCAGCAGGGCCTGAGGCAGGAGGAAAAAGGGCCCCACTTCTCAGGCTGTTCCTAGCAAGGAGACACCCGCTGACCTGTGACCCCTGCTTTCCTGACCTTGGGCTCTGCACTGTCCTTCAGGAGGGCCAGCCACCCTCGTGCCCACAGCATGGGCACACAGACTGAGTGGACTGAGCAGGTGCTGGCGTGGCCATGTGGGGAGAGGCATAAGCTGGACCTGGTCGGATACACCGTGCCACAGGGACCATGTGAAGTCGGGCTCCCCCTTGGGGGCCACGAGGTCAGTCTCCCTCACAGAGGCCATGAGGTCTTCTGGGCTTCCCCAGAGGGGACATGTAGGAGGTGAGGTGCACCCTGCTCACCCAACTGCCTCAACCACCAAACTGCCTCAACTCCGCCTGCCTCCCGCCTGAGCTGGAAGGCACCATCCAAGGCCCCAAGGCCTCTCTGTGTCTCGCCCTCACGAGCTGCAGGAGTGTGGTGGGTTTCTTCTCCAGCCCCGTGCGGGGCAGGTGGCCTGGACGCCCATCTGTGCAGCTCGCTGCAGGCTGGAGGGCAGGCGGGGCCCGGGGAATCTAGGCCAATGCCTGGGAGGCAGGGCCTGCTGGGCATGGATGTAGGGCTCTGCGCTATCGCTGTAATCAGAGAAGCCTTTCCAGGCCAGCTCCCTCCCAGCACCCATCACAGCGCTGGGGCGAGGTCACTGCAGCAGGCGTGTGTGGCAGGCACTGGCCCTCCTTCCAGGGCCAAGCGGTGCCTATATAAGCCTCCCGGGGCTGAGGGTGACCTGGGAAGCCTACAGTGCAGCCAGAAACCCCCAGGCAGATTGCCACAGGTCCCAATACAGGGCAGGAGCAAAGTCCTCGGGCAGCAGGAGGAGATGCTGCCAGTGCCTGCCTAGTTGCTGCACTCGGGCAGACTGTGCTCAGACTCCCAACTCTGTGGCCACTAGGGGGCTCACCCGGGCAGGGCTCACGCAGCTCTCCTAGGGTGGGGCTCCCCCACCTGGCTCTTGCCAGGAACCTCAGGGAAAGGACAGGGTTGGGGGTTAAGGTGGCGCGGTCTCTCCACAGATGGGGCCCTGAGGCTCAAAGAAAGCACAGAATCATTTTGGAATTTCAAAGACAATTTTATCCCAACCGGAACCTCTTCAACATCGCTGTTAGGCCAGTTATTAAAATGACATTCTTTGCCAAATGGTTTCCTGCTGTGCCAGGGGCAGGACCCACTCCTCGACCTGCTCCGCGAGGGTCATGCCCTTGTGCCCTCCTCCCCCAGCCCTGTGAGATGCTCATGAGGCCAAGTCTGTGCCTCCCGAGGGTCTGGCAGTAGAAAATCACGTGGGCAGGCGACTCTAGGGGTTGGCCAAAGTCCTTTGGTCAGCTCAGTGCCCAGAGAAAAGGCAGCAAGAAGGCGAGTCTGTCGGGCGGACCGGTCCTCCGAGTCACGCAGATCCCAGCTTCCACCCAGGAGGGGCTCAGCTGGGCCCCAAGCAGCACCTCTCCCCAGGGAGGAGGCCACACTGTCAGGGCCACTCAAGAGGGCTTCTCTCGAGGCCGAGTCTGAGTCCTAGAGATGCTCAGCAGACAAGCAGGGGGCCCTGGGGAGGTGGGCACAGAAGGAGGACTCGGGGCTGAGAGCTCAGGGAGTCACCAGGCATCACTGTGCCCAGGACACAGGAAAGGCCATCTGTAGGTTCAGGCCGTCAGCCTGGAGCCCTGCTGCCTAAGGGAAAGGGGAACTGCTCATAAGAACACAGGCCAGCACTGCTGGGGTAGGCCTGAGGCCCAGGGCAGACCAAGGGCAGACTCGGACCCTGCTCCTCTCCACGTAGCCCTGGAGCGAAGCGGACTCCCCAGCAGGCCTGCCGTCAAGTGCGCCGGCCCCTCTGCCTCTGATGAGTGTCAACACAGTAAATGTACATAGGAACCCCAAGACACAATGGGGCCCCCTGGACTGGAGTGTCAGTATGCTGAATGGACAGATGGGGGCACCGCAAAGAGCTGCTTCTGCCTCCCTGGCTGTGCCCGCGTGGGCGGCACTCGGGCCTCGCAGGGAAAGTGGAGAACAAGCTGTTCAGTATCTACATGAGTGAAAAATTTATGGTTTCATTTGGCCCCAAAGACACACCGTTTGGGGTCCCAAATACCTTTCCAAAATTACCAGACATATGAATTCCGATGTCCCCCACCCCCAGATCCCTTCCAATACCCCCCAGTTCCTCCTGGAGCTCTAAAGTGAGAACCGTCATCTGTCCCACTTGGACCCCCTGACCGGCTCTCTAGAGACTCTGGGGGCTGCAGTCCTGATGCATATGGCGGTGACGTTCAGGCAGGGACCTCACTGGTGGCTGTCACATGATGGCACAGCAGGAGTTCTGTTTCCGGGCCTTGACAGAGACAACGAGAGAGAGCTGAGGAAGCGGACTGTGGGGGGCTGCCTGGGGTGCAGGGAGAAGCCACAACCCTCTCTGGCCCCCAACACCAGCAGCCAAACACCGAGAAGCAAACACGGTCCCTCTGGCTAAGGACTTGAATCTCACTCCTTTGCTCCCAGAATGCCCTGCAAGCTGTTTCTTCGGGACACTTGAGGATGACAGGCCAGCCCCCACTTGGCAGGTGGCTCCTGCTTCGGCACCCCCCCTCAATCCCCGTCTCCCTCCCAGGCACCCGCCCAGCAGCCTGGTCAGAGGAAACTTCCAACAAAGGAAAAAGCAGCAGAGATTGAGCACGTGGGAGAGAAGCAGGAAAGTGGACACAACCCCCTGGGCCCCGCGCCCAGTAACGTCCCAGGGCTAGTCCCAGCTAGATGCTGGGCTGCCATTCAGTGCCAGTAGTGGAACCTGGGGCTCCCACAGCGGAAGCCTGCTAGGGTGATGCACCCCAGCTGCAAGAGCGTACAGCTGATGGGTTTGCCCCTGACTCTGCAGCAGACAGCAGAAATCTGGGGGTACCCCTGTGACTGAGAAACAGGCCTTCAGCTTTTCTGGGGGTAGAGAGAGTAGTGTCCTGGGGAGGGTGCTGCCCTCAGTTCTCCTGGGGACAAGGTGGTGCCCGAGTGAGCCCCATCACAGATCTTTTGGGGTCCTTTCGCTCCAACCACACGTCACTGACTCAGAGAACACGCTAGTTTCAAAGCAAGGGTCCCGGGACGGACATGCTGTGACAGTTCTTGGGACGGGCCTCCCAGGGCCAGCGGGGCGCGGGCCTCACCGTCTTGTAGAAGGCTTTAGACTGGACTCCCAGCACTTCGGACTTGGACACCAGGTCATCAAGCTTCTCACCGCGCTCCAGCAGAGACTCCATGGTGTTGTGCTGGGCAAGGGAGAGAGATCTTCTGCTCTGCCCGTGGCAGGGGCCCCGATGAAGCCCCACACTGCAAAGCATCAACTCTGGGCTCCGCACCCAGATTTGTGGAGGTGACAGGACCTAGAAGGTTCTAACTGGGACCCAGAGCCCTTCTCAAACACATGCCCATGGCACACATGATGGCACTCTGGGCACAGTTTCCAGTCAGTACTCCACCACGCAGGGGCCCAGCTCACAGGAGGTAGCCTGAGAGGAAGAGACTCAGTGTCCTACGGTCTCCTCGGAGTATAAGCAGGTGGGAAAGTACAGAAGAGCAGATGCCCCGTAGCCCACTCACAGTGGAGCGACTCAGATGCCTCACATCAAGTCTAACGGACAGAAAGGGCTGAGCAACAGGGTGGCGAGGAGGGCACTTGTCTTGCACGAGGCTGTCCCAGGTTTAACCCCCCATGCAGTCTCCTTGGCCTCGCCAGGAGTGACCCCTGAATGCAAAGACAGCCCTGAACACAGTCAGGTGCGGCCCCAAACAAAACACCAACAACAAAGCTTTAGGGGCCAAAGCAACAGGTGCAGCAGGGAGGGCATCTGCCTTGCACGTGGATGACCCAGGTTCGATTCCTGGCACCCCGAGCACCAAGAGCAAGTCCTCAGTAGCGCCGGAAGCAAAACACACAGTCAGGAGAAGACAGACTAGTCAAACCAACCAAAAGCCCACCAGGACACAGGCTTGGGACGTGGGTGGGAAAATAAGGACAGGGTGGAACAAAGGTCATACTGGTGGTGGGGTTGGGGTCAGAATATTGACTGCCTGTAACGAATCCATCAAAAACAATGCTGTAAACCATAGTGTTTAAATCAAAGGGGACCCCAAAAGTAGAGAGAGAATATGGGAGAAACTGTCTGCCATAGAGGCAGGGGAAGGGGTGGGGTGTTCGATCACTGAATGACTGAAATTCAAACATGAAAGCCTTGTTAAGTGTTGCTCACAGTGATTCAATTAAAAAAATATCAAGGGGAACCCTTGAGGAGAGAGATGGGGCTGCAGATGGAGCCCTCTCGCTGCAATGGAGGCAGGGGGACAGCAAGGAGTGTCCCGGAATCAGCACAAGAGGAGTCAGGTTAGACCATGTGGAGAGAAAAATGTGTCACAAAGGAAAAGCTTTGGGCAAGCTTTCATGTCCAGCTTTTATTTCAGACCCTTGCTTCAAAGATCCAGAAAAGCTGCCTCTGAAGGCACTGGGATGCGCGTTACAGAATGTTGGATCCTGGGTCACCGCGAGACAAGAAATACAGGGAGTGGCACAATGGGCGGTGCTCAGTGAGGCCCAGGTGGTTGACAGGAGACCAGACTATCGGAGTCTGTGCAGACCCTGTAGTCGAGTCTCCAGGGGGGCAGAGTCATGGCCACCGGCCTGGTGGACAGGGAGCAGGGGACCGTTTAGATGCAGAAGCCACAAGGACCAAGCCAAAACAGATGCTTCCAGCTTCCCAAAGAGAGCCTGAGAGTTAAGAGGCAGTTAGAAGCAGGGATCGGAAATGAGGGTGCCCCTCAGACAGCTCTGTGCCAGCAGACACCGGAGCATGCAGTCAACAGTGAGGGCACAACAACAGTTCTCGAACCCCCACACGAAGGGCGTGAAGGAGAGCCACAAAACAGCACAGACCCGTGCAACAAGTGCCACAAGATGGGGCCGGGACACACAGACCACGGGCTGTCTGAGTCAGAATCTGAGGCCTCTGCAGACGGGCCTGGTCCCATAGGCTGGCACCAACTCTACATGTCTGGCCACTGGCCAACCTTCCTGCCATGGGTATCTGGATGGGCACCCCCAAGTCTTGCTTACCAGGATGATTTTGGTCTCGTCTAATTCCGCCTGCACTTTAGTCATGGGGTCGGCTTCTCGGGGGTTCTGGACACAAACAAGGACACTGTCAGGACAGCAGTTCAACAGAGTGCGTGGGACACATGTGCACAGGGGCTGATCATGTCCGGGGAGGGCCGGAGACTCAGCCTTTCCCAGAGGGGCACCAACACCAAGCTTGGCAGGGCCAAGTGTCTGGCTCTTACACAGAGCTAAGACCAGCTTGTGGGGGCCCGCAAGTCCAGCCTTGCGACCACCAAACCACGTGGTGTGGCCCCCAGCAGATTTTTCAAAAAACAAACAAGGAGCTGGAGAGACAGCATGGGGCTAAGGTGCAGGCCTTGTATGTGGCCAACACCAGTTCGATCCCTGGTACTATATGGCCCCCTAAGCATTGCCAGGTACAAGCCTGGAGACCCCCAACAATACCAGGACAGCCTGGGTGACTTTCAGTACCACATTCTTGGACTGCTGCTAGCCAATGCTCAATCCTGGGAAGGGTCCAAAGGCTTCCTCAGCACCCTTGGGAGCACACCCACCCCCCCAAAGGAAAAACCAAATACAAGGCAGTCGGAGGCCCCCAGGCCCTCAAGGACCAGGGCTGTTGGCTCTCCCCCCGCCCACACAGGCTCACATGATGGTCTTTCCACATACCTGGTATTTGCTAAGGTAACCGTCCAGGGCTGTATAGTTAATGGTATCAGGGGATCCTATTGGCCAATCTATCCTGTCGACCTGCTTGGAGAACTCGTCCAGGACCTGCGAAGTGGAGGAACTAGTGTAACAGCACTCACACACCAGCAGGGCTTGGCCCTGGAGTCTCACCCCTGAGAGGTGCTGGGGCCTCGGGCCCAGGACAGGGTGAAGCCGACAGTGATGACAAGGGGGAACCCAGGCCCACATTCCTTCTTCAATACTCCAGGAACTGAAGACCGAACAGGTCAGTCTCCAAGGCATTTTTTGAACTGTGGAGTTCTACTTTGTTCAGGATGTGACTTTCTAGGGGAGGAAGAAAAAGGCCCACCAATTCTTCAAAATCAATTCTTTAAAAATGAAGGTTAAGTCCTTCGGCTCTCAATAACCACCAGATTTCATGTCCTTTGAAGTATACTAATGCTTTGGGAGAGACGAGACATGGCCAGAGTTTGTAAGGACTGCAGAATCAACCTTTATTAACACAATGGCACAGGGCGCATGACAGGGGCTCACACTTGAACATGGCGTTCGCACACTGGACTCAAGAATGCAGAGGCACTGGCCCCACGAAGGAGCAGGCCTCCCACGGGAAACCCTCTCCCCAAACTGCAGGCTGAGACTGGGCCGGAGGAGGCAAGTGTTCCCAGGCCGGAACACAGGCACTGCACACTGGAGGCCCAGCTGAACTACCAGAGTCACCTCGTCCCCTGAGCGCCAGTGGGAGCGAGCCCTGAGCACTGCAGGGCTTGACCCCCCAGCCAAACTATAGGGCCCAGGCAGAGATGGGAGAAGAGCCTCAGTGAGGGCAACAATGTTGTGACCAAAGGTCCAGCCTGACTCCACAGACAACTGCAAGTCACAGGCCAAGAGAATAGCAGGGGAGAGGCCGCGACTCAGGACAAGAGAGCAGAAACACGTGACGAGGAGGAACAGGGAAGGGCTCCAGGCGCCTGCTCAGCATAAGGACAGGGAAGCCAGAGCCAGGTGGCACCATCGCTTCCTGACAGTGGCCCGCGGAGTCCAGTCCAGCCAAACCCCAAACTTACCTTCTCCAGCAGGGTGAAAGCCACTCGGGAGGGGTATTCGCTGTCGGCAATGGCCACTCCAGCAAGGCTGTCGGGTCGCACGTAGACATGGCATAAGTATCCTGAGGAGACCGGGGTCGGGCACAGGGGAATAACAGGAGGGGTTTCAGACTCTGCTCTCCAGGTCAGTCAGACACTGAGATACTGAGAGAGAGGTTTGCGGAGTGACCCTCAGCGGGGCCAGGTGGAAACACTCAGAGTAACATGCACGGGAGCTGGGCCCAACACCTGCTTTAGGACAAGAACCCACTCAGTGCAGAGCTGCCACCGAAAGGAGCCTCCGGGGCTGAAAACACATCCCAGGCAACAAAGTCTAGGGTCCTCCCAGTCAGTCGTGCAGGACCTCGGCTCGGGTCTAGGACCCTCGAGATGGCAGAGAGCATCAAAGGCAGGGAGCCGCTCCCCGCAGCAACTCCTCTATTCCACAGGGCTCTTGGGGGGGTGGGAACAGTGGAGGAAAAGCTCCGACTAGAAGAAAACGCAGCCCCTATTGTCTGGAGCCCCAGGCCACTGAGCCGGAGCCACACTGTCAGTGCCGTGGGCAAGGGCCCTGCAGAGGGTCACAGCTCAGAGCTGATCTTCACACTAGGAAAGAAGGGCGGCGACTGTCCTCCAATTGCTCCCCCAGAAAACTCCAATGGTAAATGAAAAACACAAACCAGAGAGGGGAAACTCTGAGCTCCCTGGAATCAGACAGAATCAGAAAAGGGAAAGACTCAAGAGCAGGGAGGAGAAGCTCAGGGGCTCCTCACTAACAATTCCCAAAGAAGTCAGATTCCAACGGGGGGGTCAAGGTGCACACACTCCCTGGCCCTGAGAAGCTGGCCAAGGCCAGGACATGTCTTCAAGGAAACTACAGTTGGCAAGATGGGCAGTCTGAGGAGAGATGAAGGCATTTACTGTCCATGATTCAATCTCATTTCTGGGATGTGAACAGTGGAGGGATCACAGAGAGAACTGAGTCCAACCCAGCTGGCACCGTGGCTGCCAGCGATAGTGTCTCCTCAGCATGTGACCAGATCGGTACTAAGGGCAAAGAACTTTGTTTCTGCCTGATAAGGTTCACACACAACTTTCAGACCTATAAACAAATGCCTCCAAAATAAACACCACAAGTTCTCCTGGGAAATGTGTATCATGCAGGGAAAAAAAGAAAAATAGTGAAGAAAACAGCATAGTGAATTTTCAGATTCCCGGTAAAAAAAAAAAAATGTAAGTAGCACAGATGCACTGGAACCAGCTAGCTGAAATTCTTCCTGAGAGGGCTACACTCCAGAGGAGCTGACACAAAATCATTCCCCATACCAAGAGATCGGAACTATAATCCTGAGTGTGAGCTGTGGAGCTGACTGTACCCAGGCTGCTTCAACAGCAACGATTGGACACCTGGGTACAGGATTTATGGACAGGAAGAGGAGGAAGGGGGAAAACAGAAAGAACCAGCAGGAGTGGGGTCTCAGTTCCTGCCTGGTGTGGAGCTGCGGGTTGCTGGGGTCAATCCCACTCACTCACCTTCTTGCCGGACTGAAGCTCTACTGCCTTTCTGTGAGCGGTCCACGATAAGTTGGCTTGTGAAGATCATGAATTCTGCGGCACTAAGAAACACAACACGTCACCTGTCCCTGTCCCCCCTAGCCTCAGTATGATGGAAAGGGACCTCTGGGACTGACACCGCGGTGCTTTTCGGTTTCCCTCCCAACCGGAATAGCAGAAGCAACAATACTAGTAATGGCAACAAGTGTAAGTGCTCTGAGAGTCAGCACAAACACAGATAATCACCAATCATTACAACCACGAAAGCCTCTAGGTACCTGCTTGCTGGCTTGTCCACCCAACCACCCCCTCGTGGACTTCTGGGGAAGTTTCTACCAGCTCTAGTTAAACAGGTTGGAGTTCACAAGGGACACAGTGGAGAGACAGAAGCCAGTTCCTGTTCTCAAAGCCAAGAGCTTCCAGGAAGCAGGAGGGACACAGTGTCACTGCGCCGGGAAACTGCACACCCGTAGGGAGGACTGGCTCTGCCTGGGGACAGGGCTCGGTCAGCACGACCCGCAGGCAGGGCAGAATAGGGAAATGGTATGAGACTGCGAGGGAAGCCTCCTTGGCCCCTCCTCTCCGGGCCAGTGTGGCAGGTCACAGCCACGACAGTCCAGGCCTGGGGGGTGGCCCACGAAGAACCCCCGGGGCAGGTTCCTGAGGGCGGGCTGCAAACCCCCAGCCTGCCCCGGGTGCATAACAGAGGGTCAGGCCTGCCCCTCCCACCGGACACCACGGGCGCCTCTTCCCAGATGGGCCCTCGGGCAAGGCACTGGACTGCAGGTATACAACTGAGATTCGCCGTACAGATAAAGTCGATCCACATCAAGCTTAGCACAGAGCCCAGCTCCAAACCCCGCAGAGGCCTTGCGGCGAACCCGCTGCAAGGCAGAGCAAAGAGGGCCGTGATTAGACCAAGACAGAGCCGCGTTCGTGGCCAGGGCCACGCGGAGGGCCGAGAAGTCGGGCGACCACGCCGAGGCTGGCTGGGGGTCGGAGCCCGGCGAGCGCCGGGGAGGACGACGGCGGGGCCCCGGGGCGGGCGGGGCGGGGCGGGGCGGGGCGCGCGCTGGCCCGGCTGGACGCCGAGCCGCGGAGGGAGGCGGAGGGCCGGCGCCACCGCACCTGGACCGCTGGAAGAAGCTGAAGGAGGACACGTCGTGCGCGTTCTTCAGCAGCAGCACCTTCTCCTCGCCCTTGAAGAGCACGCTCAGGCTGTAGAGCTTCATGGCGCCGCGCGGCCGGCCGGCGGCCCGCAGCAGCCGCGCGTCGGGAGCAGCTCGGCCACCGCCCCTCCGGCCCGGCGCTGACGGCTTCGACGGCCGCTTCCGGTTCCGGCAGGCGCCGCGCCGACGCCCAACGGAAGCCCGAGGGAGTAACCGGAAGTGCGCGCGAGCGGGCGGTGCCGCGCCTGCGCGCCTCGCACTTCCGGCGTCGAGGCTCCTCCCGGCTCCTCCGGGCCGGAGGCCCCGCCCCGCGGGCCGCCCGGAACCTTCCACGGCATCCGCGGCTTCTCGCGGCGCGCAGCCCTGTCACCTGCTTTGGGCTTCGGTGTATGGCCGGTGGCCTTCCTGGGACGTGAGTGAACTGAGCGGCCGGGACCCCCGAGAGGCTCTGCTCGGGCTCCCCTTGGGCCAGCCCCAGGCCGCGCCCGCGCCTCCGAGTGAGCGAGGGGTCGCCGAGTGCGGAGCCGCTTCCCGCCACCGCGCGGGACTCACCGCCCACGGCCGCGTGGTGCTCAGCGCTCGCCTGCGGGGACCGCGTGAGACAGCCTCTGCGGAGGCCTCGGACCGTGACTCGGTCCCAGCGTCGCTTTAGGCGTCACTCTCCAGCCGGGGTTCCACCTCGGCGAGATCGACCACGTGGCCTGCGTAACTCGGATGCTGGGCACGCTCCTAGGCACGTGTTCCAGGCGGAATCACAAGCCTGGTACCCACTCGATGTCAGCAGCAGCCCACCCTCCGTATGCAATCCAGAATGTCTCTGGACGTTACCAAATGTGCCCTCGGTAGTGATGGTTTAACCTACTGTCAATATTTATTGCTTTAAATAGCCCTGTTGTTGAAGGAAGGTCTTTCTACTTGCTCTTTCACGTAACACCTTCCTCGCCTGCAGATTTGGATATTGAACTTGAGAACAAACGTTGGCCAATGCTAGGTGATCACCCAAGAACTGTGTCACAACATGTCAGGACAGGCGCCCCAATGGGGCGACTGGAACAGTTTTTCAAGAGAACCCTTTGTAGTCACTGGAAGTTGTACAAAGGGCCTGGGATGGATTAAAAATGTGTTCAGTGACCGACCTTGTTTCCCTTACATCAAGCACTTTGCCTGTGATGTCTCATTGAATGCTTATAAATTTTTATATATAAAAATCATATATACATGTAATATATATGTTACATATTATATATGCACTTTATGGACATAGAAACAGATTTGAGTTAAGAAAATTGCTAATAAGAAACATGGCATTCTCGAGGCATGTGTTGAATTCTCTCACGACCCACCTCCAAGCCTGGCCCCTCTCCCTCTCTGGGACCTCACTCAGAGCCCATTTCCCAAGGAAGCCTTGTTTGATCTTTGTGGCGCCGACTTCCAGTGCATCATTCTGAATAGGAAGCTTCACCTTCACCTTATAACCCCACTGTCACCCAACTTAGATCAATATCTGGATTGCCACAAACTTGAATCCAGTTCTAGTATTGCTTCAAACTTGGATTCAATTCCGGTGTTGCTGCAAACCACAAAATCACAAAGGAAACAAACTGTTAACCCCTCTGAGTCTTTTTCATCTCTACACAGAAAAATGGTCCGAGGTTTCATTCATTAAAGTCTTTATGACTCTTAGGCAAAGTGCAGACCTGAATACAATCAGAGTGCTTCAAAAGTTGACTGAGAGTGGATATAGAGTCTCACCTCCATTCTAACTAGACACTGACAGAAAAATGAAAACAGAGTCATTTTGAAATACAACCCTCTAGAAAAATCCCCTAGCTTTTAAAATTTGTTGGAAGTGAAGAATGAAGAAAAATATAGCATTGTCCTCCCGTTGTTCATTGATTTGCTCGTGCGGGCCCAGTAACGCCTCCATTGTGAGACTTCTTGTTACTGTGTTTGGCATATTGAATATCTCACGGGTAGCTTGCCAGGCTTTGGCATGCAGCTGAGATACTCTCAGTAGCTTGCCAGGCTCTCCGAGAGGGGCGGAGGAATCGAACTCGGGCTGGCCATGTAGGCCACATGCAAGGCCCTACCGCTGTGCTATCACAAAATATATGTATATGAAAATGTATGAGAAGAGTAGAAAGATAAAAGACATTTTAATAAGAGGGATAAAGGGCAGGGTTTTAACATAGGAAAATAAAATCATTTTCCAAATGATAGAACAAAGTTGAGGAACTTGGTAAATTGAAAAGGTATGTGCACATGAAAGTTTTGTGAGGGGGGGTCACAAAACTTGGTTGGTTGGTTGGTTTTGGTTTTTGAGCCATACCAGGAAATACTCAGGAATTACTCCTGGTTGTTCTCTGGGGGCAATATGGGATGCTGTGGATCAATCCCAGGTTGGCCCCGTGCAAGGCCAGCGACCTACTCCAGCCCCTGATAACAGGTTTATAGTGTTAAAACTGAAAAGCAGCTTTGGTGCCTGATCTTGATTATTCCACTGTCTTGATTATTATTGATTATTCCTCTGAAAGGAATTTTATATGGTCTAATTAAATATAATTCCTATTTATTTAAAACCTTCACTAGTCTCTACACCTGTCCAGCAATGGAACACAAACCTGGGAGGAAAACTGGCGACTTGATTTTATAAATCAACCTCCTTGCAAGAAATTTAAATTCCTTCTGGTTTGTGTAGATACTTTATAGGAAGGACTGAGGTATTTCCCACTAAAACAGAAAACTCCTCTGAAACATCACAGCCCTGATATAAATCACTTAATCCTTATGTTTGTACCACAGTCAGCCTTTGTCTCTAACCTCACACCATCCATTAGTCATGTTCTCAAATCCCATATTATTTACAAAATGCCTGGCACCCCCAATCTTCAGGGAAGGTAGAAAGAACTCACCAATGAAAAGGCACTTGGGAGGCAGGCTCCTGGACAGGACCGTGGGGTGGGAGGGAAACGGGGAAGTTGGTCATGGAAAATACACATTGGTGGAGGGATGGGTGTTGTAACATTGTATAACTGAAACCCAGTCATAACTTTGTAACTGTGTATGTTACAGTGATTCAATTTTTTTTTAAGGCATGTCAGGCTGGGGGCATGTCCAGCAGATAGGGCACTTGCCTTGCATGTGGCTGTCCCAGGCTTGATCTCTGGCAGCCTATATGGCCCCCTGAGCACCACCAGTAGTGAATAGTGATTCCTGAGTGCAGAGCCAGTAGTAACCTCTGAGCACTGCTGGGGCATGGCCCAAAACCAAAACAAAACCAACCAACAAACAAAGGAACTTGGAAAAACTAATGTATGAAACTCAACAATCATGGATTTCCCTACTGCCCATAGGTTTTCTCAAGGACTAATTAGATTTCATAGGAAATGTATAACCTAACACGGTTTCCATCTATGGATCAATCTTTTCCTCGTGTTTCTCTAAAGCCAGACTCCTCTGTGGATTACATTGACTTAAAAAGAGGGATTCTCAGTAGGAAACTTAAAATCCATATTTTCTCTCCTCCATATTTTACTTAGGAAACTTAAAATCCATATTTTCTATACTCACTAACATCCCATTCTCCTGAAGTTCTAGGTTTTGTGGTAGCCCAACACAATACTGTCCTGCAATTCAATATGACTTGAACCCAAACAATTCCTTAACTGTACTAAGCTCACTTAATTCCATCAAAATAATAAAACCTTTTTCTTGGATAAAATACATACTACGCACAAAAACAATAAAGAATGAGAAACACCACTTCCAATCTCACCCAAGTTACATATCCATGTCCAACTCCCCTGGCAGCTGCCATATGAGCTCCAAAATATTTCATCGATGGCACTACTAAACCAAGACTAACCCTTTATTGGCCTCAGTCTCAGCCAGTGTCCAATAGCAAGGATTCTATTTTGTTTGAGACACCTCATTATGTGTTTGCCCTCCATCAAATTGGTCTGGAATCCTTTTTAATAAAATGATTATTTTGTCACCGGAAGTTCCCCTTCCCTTACAATTTTTTTGGTCTAAACATTCACAAGCAAAAAAAAAAAAAATTACCCATACCCTTACTAATGGCACTAGGAGTTTCAAATGGCATACCGCTGGAAGTATTATTTCCTCTTCCTGGAGGTATCTGCTCCTCCACCAAGTTAGTTTCTCCATCTTGCTATATCAAAATGTCTCTTTGTTTTTTGTTTGTTTGTTTTGCTTTTCGGGTAACGCCCAGTGATGCACAGGGGTTACTCCTGGCTTTGCACTCAGGAATTACTCCTGGCGGTGCTCGAGGGACCATATGGGATTATGGGAACTGAACCTGGTCAGCAAGGCCTACCCGTCGTACTATTGCTCCAGCCTCTCACGATGTCTCTTTGGAACTTGTACAAAGCATTAGCAATACCATTACAGCCCTTCACAGGTTCCAAGAATAAATAAAATTATCTCATTGTATTAACTCTCCAAAATGATAGAACTGTGGATATGTTTAAAAACAAGGGATGTGTCTGCTATTATAGGGCAAGTGGAACTTTTGGATCAATCAATCTGGACAAGCCCAAGAAAATACTTTAAAACTCACTGAGCAAGTCTTACTTCAGGAGAGGTCTATCAACAGTTGGCTATCCTGGAAGTTCCATTAGAACTATGTTTCCTGCTTAATAGCCCCAGTAAGATCTTTAATTATCACATTCCTAATCTTGACATTTGCTTCTTGTCTTCTAAACCTAATAATCAAAGTAGTTTTTTTCTTACATCCAGGCCATCAATCTGTAATGTGATGGTATCCAACCAACAATTTAGACCTACAAACCCAATAATTTCTCATGACTACTTTCCTTGATCATATGGCCATGATGTTATGGGCCTCTCCATGTCCATAATGAGCCTGAAGCAATCCCAGAAAATAGACCATAGCTTCCACTCTAAGATTTTAATTGCTATTGCTCAGCGGAAGGAAATGCTGTGGAATAAAAAAGAATATTTTGAACAAAATTGTCAAGACAGGCTGAATTATTTCAGGCTTATTCTGTTCATGAAAACATTGCTTGCCACACAAAAAAAAACTCCACCATGAAAAAAAATCACCTGCTATGAAAAAAATCTATCACAAAAATACAT